TAAACAGGCTTTGATTTTAAATAGGCTTCAGATTAATATACAGTAGGCTTCTTTGATCCAACAAAACACCTTTAGAAATGCTTTAGTATATAATGGTGGTTTCAAAAATTGATTGGGCCTAATATGTGATTGTGGAGGGCAGCACAGTGTTTTACTTTGTGAGAGAGGAAGGCTGGCAGTTCTGCCTCGTTGTGCTGGGGACCTGGGGTACTCTGTGTGGAGTTTGTATAAGTTCAAGTAGGGAGCTGCTTCAGCATGCATAGGCTGAAAAAGAACAGGTAAAGGTTCATGCCATGTTGAAAGGTAAAGAAACGAAACAAAATGTTTCAGCTGTGTAGGCTTCTTCGCAGGTGAGGGACAGGGGAGAAGTAGAAGATCAATAAGGTGAGGAGAACAAAAGACAGAGTAGTTATGAGGGGGTAGGCAACAGGGAGGAAGTGGGACATTAGCAGCTGAGAATGAGTATAAACACTTGGGGGAGAACACGAAAAGTGTGAAAAGCCAATCTCTGCAAAAGAATAGAGAGGATTAGGAAGAAATGAGTCTGTCATAGATAGAAGGGGGAAGTTTCAGGATAATTTTGATTTCTGCAGTAGGTGTTCTAAAACCTCTCTGTCAGGACACAGACAGAGAGATCAGAAAGATCCTGGCCATTACAGATGGAATGAGGAACTAGCAGATAGAAGAGATCTTTGATTTTCACAAGTGTGACACGTTCCCTGAAATGTCTCTCACTCTTCTTCCTCTGTCACCAAAGTAAATGGCTGGGCATTTTCAGCATGAGATGCAGTAAATGAGGTTACTAAAAATGTATGATGTCATCTGGATGACATGAAATAGTGCACAGGGGCCTTGCATGTGTGCTATATTGGATATATACTGTAAAGTAAATTTCCAGGTGATGCAGCGGGTTCTGTTACAAGGGAAAGTGCCTAGTGTGGATGATGAGCAGGAAGGTTGAGCAGATTAGGTGGTCAGCATTATGAGATGACAGGGCGGTCAGGAAAGAGGGTACCGGTGGAAGAGTCATCCTGTAAAATGGGGAAGTTGTCATTAATGTTCCCTGGAATAGAAAGGGTGTTAGGATTTCAGGGAAGCACCGAAGAAATGCAGTTGTGAAGGCCAGCATGCTGCAAATAGCCAGCAAGCCAAAGGAAGGGGCTACATCAGAGAAAAACAGGGCTTCTATACAAGATGACAGAAACTCATTGTATAATGTCAGCCCTTTCTGGTTCCAAAAATAAGTGCCACAATCAACGCTCTGTTTTGCAATTTGAAGTAAGGGTGACATGTTGATGTGAGGAAAAGACTGATGAGGTGAGATGTAAGAGATACAAGATAAATGATTGGGTTCTGGGCAATGATTCATATTGCATAGTTTATGTAGCCCAGTAAAGACAATGGTTCCATTTTACTGCAAGGCTTAGCTGTCAATAAGTGGAAACATAGAGCTGAATATGGTTGAGCTTGTCAGAACTGATAATGTTTCCAAGAAATTCAGTGGGTGAGGTGTGATCTTCTCTTCTTTAGCAGGAGGGACCCCTGGCTCTTAAATAGACAGAATAAGGACATTTTTGTGAGAACACCTTTGAGGACATGAAGAAGAAAGGGGAGATCATAATTATTTAACAAGATCCAGCGCTGGACAGATTACCTGCAAAACAAAATGTACAAAAACAGCACACACTGAAGGGGGTGAAAAACATAGGGGCTGACAGGAATGATACTGAAGGCTTTGGAGATATCATGTTTACAAAAATATACTCCTGATCTGCTATCTTAATGAGAGACGTGGTGATTGATGGTGGCATAATAAAGAGAAAAAAAATAAGATGAGAATTAAGCTGTACAGTATATGTTCATAATGGAAGGGTTATAAAAGGCTAACAAGTTGACTTTCAATCACCTTTTTCCAGAATATTTGCGAGTAGAGATTTTTTTTTTACAGATAATAAAGAGAGAGGAAGGGATAGGAAGAGATTAAGGGAGAATGAATGAGCAACTGGAAAAAAACCACTGATATCCACTGAATATATGATCACGGTGGCTGAGTAATTTGGAAGCTCAGGAATAGCAATTGAGATGTTTTCTGGAAACATGTGAGGTTGATTGGCAGAGGAAGATGGGGCTCCAGGAGGAAAGACAGATTAGTTATTTGTAAACTTGCTGACCTCCTACAAACACTATAGAATGGTTGTGAAGATCTTTAGAGGGATTACAGAAAACGTGCTGATAGAATTTATTAGGAGTGAGGACAGCAAGGGGAACTGGAAGAGGTGAAAGGATCAAGGTCAATCCTGGTGGCAGCAGTGTGGTGGAGTTTCAAAGCAATACTGCATCGGAGGAACTACTGCACCAGCAAAACTATGACAGTAAAGCTCTGTGTCTAGAGCTCACTAGTAGGAATGCTGGTTTCAAAAACGAGCCGCAGCCTTAAAGGAATGCTGCTTGGACAATCATTGAGTATCAAGTGCCCAAAATTAACTGATTAATCCAAAATTACAGTATGCGCATGTAGTAGTGATGTTCCTGGGATGACAGCAGGGCAGGGATGTTGCTGGGACCAAAGACATGGTGTGTTGGACACCATATGTTGAAGAAGAAAGGATGGTAGAAGGGATTCATGAGGTGTCACTGTGCCAAATGGAGTAGAAATTGATGCTTGGAAGAAGAATAAAAGGGGCTGAATAGAGAATAGTGGTATATTGGATGAGGAAGGGAGGAGATGGGGGGGCTGGGAAATAGGCACTCCGGCTGAGTGTTGGATGCCAGGAGACAGTAAAGAGAGGAGAGACTGTTGGATGCCTGCTGACTGAGTCGGTGCTTGGATAGACTCAGGGCTGAGTTGGCGGCACCAGGACTTTTGGGGTTTTGATGAACAAATGGGGACAACTAAACAGATTTAGTTCTTTTCTTCTGTTTTTTTAGGATAATTTCAGGTAATATCAAATTAATTGCTTTTCTCATGGATCAAAACAAGTGAACAGGGGGCAATATTTAAAAAGCAAATCAAATTCTAACAAAAAAGTAGTCATTAAAATCAATCGGTATAATAATTAAAATTTAAATTAAAATTCAGATACTTATACTCATATTATTTTCAGAAATTCATTTCGAAATTTAAAAATGAGACTACTAACCATGATTGAAAGAGCTGGATGTGTTAAATATTGGTATACTGTAATATTTAAAAACTAAAGCGGAAATAAAAGAAAGACAATAAGAAATGCATTTATTTTATTTGCAACTGACAAATTACAAATTACTCTTGGTTTTAGTGTTAAACTTAATTAAAATAAAATTAAAATGTATTGTGTATGTGTATGTACTGTGGTAAAACATTTTATGTTTTTTTTTTACTGAGAAGAACAATGATTAAAATTAAACAACAGATCTGAAGAATTATATATCTGATATATAACGAGTTGCAGTATGAACAGGGTAGTCTTTGCAGGCTGAGAACCCACTTTTCATTCAGCATTAAACACGTCTTAACACATTTATTTTCACCTTTTTTATTTGGCCAGACTGGCAATTAACATGGTGTAGCAGTAGACTACACACACTGAAATAATGGCTCAGTAGCTACCTCTGTGAACAGGAAAAAGAAAAAAAAATGGAATTAGGAATTCTAAACAGTGTCCGTCTGCTGAAACTAGAGACCATATAAGGCAGGATACACAGAGCACTTGTGTCTTAAAACCTCACCAAGCATGATAAAACCTATAGCTTGAAGATGGGCTTCCTGAGTTCTGGCTATGTCCCCTTGAAGTCCCTGGAGGCAGCTGTTCTACTGAGTCAGAGATGCCTTGAAAGTATATATGAATTATGTATAAAGTCTAGGCCATTTTGCTTTTTCTGCTGTTTTCACTTTTTACTGGGAAACACAATTCCTTAGCCGCTTTCTACAGAAATGTAATAATTGTGTTTAAACCTTACAGCTTTTATAATACAAAACATAGCTTTTTGTATTAAACAGTAGACAAAGCCGTATATTGCCTCATCTGCTGAAGTGTTAACAGGCATTGTTTTATGTCTTCAGACTGTGGGAGGAAACTCATGCCAACAAGGTGAGAACACAAAAACTCCACACAAATAGCACCCCAGGTCAAGAATTAAAACTAAGTCCCCAGTGATTCGAGGCAGAAAGGCTAATTACAGCATCAACATGTCACCCAAGTTACAAAAACGTTTGTAACTTGGAACTCATCAATACGGGAAGTAAGTGTTTTGAGAAGAGCACAGAATCACTATGGGGAAATGACGGGAGAGATGTGTCATTTCTGTTCTGGACTGCATTATGTAAGCAAGTGCAGGTGTGGAATGTCTGGAATTCTACTCAATGCAACTATGCAAGCCTGATCTATGAGAGCTTGAACTATCGTTTTTACAAAATCTTCAAAAAATTGCAAGCTAGAATACGGTATTTTTCAAATGCAGTCCAGCATTATACCTGGAAATATCGGCCAACTATTTGAAAGTGTGGTTACAAATGTAAGATTTATCAATATCGCTATCGCTAAGGTTTTCATTCATTGGGTAACCACTGTAGATTTATTTTAAACAGAATATGGCATCTGTGACCTATGACATAGATCGGATTAAGGACTGTAAGAGAATTAAAAAAAAATGCTGAAATAGGCTTTGCATGAATCCATTTTTTGATGGGGACAGACTTGTTTTGTAAAGCAACAAATGTATGCAATGGCATATTCGCTGATCTGTGGAATAACAGTACTAAAGATATTTCAATCTAGGACTTTGAGATCTCCAACATTATCAGGTCCAATCAGAGCAAAGTACTTCTTGATATTTAGGACATAAACACGTCCTGAATCAGATATCACATTCAGAAACTAAATATGCCAGTAGAAAGTATGGCAGTATAAGGAGAACTTTCAATACGTAATTGTCTGAATATTAAATATGTACAAATCCTTTTTTGGTTTTGTAGATTATGTGACCTTCTTGGTAAGTGTAGAAGAAACTGAAAAAAGAGGTAGAGGTGTTTTAACCATCTTTATTATTCAAAAACAGAAACAGTAGCACGCTGATCACCTAGCAATATTTTCTAAGCATTTACAATTGATACAAAAAGTTAAAAATATTTCTGATAAAAATGATCTATTATGAGATGTTTTTAAAATGACTTGAGGAGGCTATCATTTGTTATAAAACTGTGTGGCCTTATACCGACTTCAGTACAGCTTTGTTGACAAAGAACAAATATTATCTTAATTTCATTATCTTATTAATATTATCTTAATTAACAAACTAAAAGCATGAAGACTGTCTATCATTAGAATCCCACAAAAAATGAAATGTAAGATTAGGGTTAGGAAATTAAAATCCTGCCAGATGCTAAAACAAAATTAATTGGAAAGGTTGCAATTTTACTTTTGTTTCATAAAGAATTTCTCAGAACAGCGGCTCACTGTCAGCAGGAATACTAATTTAAAACATTTTACAGCTACATCACTCTTCACAACCTCCCTGCATCATTTCTACAGAGGCTCAGAACATTATGAGAAAGACAAAAAAAAAATCAGACAGAGCAGATCAAGTTACTCAGTGATGCCATTCATGTGTATAATATGATTGCATGGCAAATCTAGCATCCAGACTTGTATCCTTAGCTAACGAGTCACCTCAGACAGCCGCATGGAGCTGTGCTGGAATTCTCAGGCTGAGCAGGGTTGATTATAGTGTAGAGACTTGCAAGCAACAAGGAATGGTAGCATGGCATCCCCATTAAGCTTCTATTACTCCTGAGGGCCACTTGGCTCCTGGTAAGTAGGAGGCAGTTCCTTGAAGGGGAGCTTTAGGGCCTCGTCATAAGAAGGCAGCACAACCTGGGGGAAAGACAGCAATACTGTGACAATTACCCTGATTGTCTTTAAAGCATAATCTGTCATTGCTCTTGTCTCTCACATTTAGAGCTTGAAACTTGCCAGGTCTAGCACAGATTCAGTTGCCCATCAAGTGTCATTTCTGTCCTTTTCCAAGCCTCGGGTCCGTGGTCAAAGCCTGTCTACTGACTGCTTTTCTGAAGAGTGAAAGTCCATGTTTATAAAGGCATGACGTGTTTGGTATATGTATTACTATATTTATATATATTTAACTCATCCACAGCCAGGTGCTTAAAAAAGTGTACAAAGAATACTGATACTGAAGTTTAAGAAACTGGAATTTGTGTTCCTTTAGATGAGAAAAAATCTTTTATGTCATCTTGCCAGGAGAACTCACAGTCCGTGAGCTCTGTAGGCCATAGATCTTTCAGTGTGGGCTATGTCATTATGCCAAATATTCCCATGAGATCTCAAGGGCTGGGATCCATCACAAAATGATTGGGCAGCTTTGACATCAGCCAAGGCTTTCTTGGCATCCTATGGATGACCATACAATTCCCAGTTTTATCAGTATGAGCTCTCATCTACTGCCTGCTTGTGCATAACTTGGATACTTGGATTCGAAATTCTGCGGCCGGAGGATCCTGGCCTTCCAGCTTCAGTTTTGTCCAAGTGGGGGGGTAATTTGGGATAAGCCATGCGAAAAGCATCTCTTTGCTTTGTAACAACAGCACTGACATGGAAAAGATCAAATTTTAATTGTCTTGCCTTGGCTGTTATTTGTGTTAAACCTGAGTTCTGCACTATTGTGAGGTGACTTACCACAGCGCTCTTCTCATCAGTTGTCTGAGTGTCCTTGGCACGGGTGTTGTGCGCCTTGATGAAACTATAGCACTTGATCACGCAATTCACCATGTACACCTGAGTATCAAGAAGAACACAATCACAAGTAGTAATCATGACCAAATGCAGGTGATGTAAATTATTTCCTTTGGCAATTCAAAGAACTATCATGCTAGTCTGCTTCTTTCATTTAGATGGAGATTAAGTGGCTGATTGTGTCATTTCTTTCAGTTCTGTGATGTTTATAGGACCCAAACATGCTCCTCATGGTGCATTCTGAACTGTAATATAGCTTAGTGATCTCAGCTGTGGCACTGCTCTGGTTACTTAGATTTTCTTTCTTATGTTTTATAATTTCCTGCTTTTTGAATGTGATCTGAACTTATTCTTTATTGTAAACTGCTGTACAGAATGTGCATACAAACCTTTTCAACTCTTAAGTTTGAAATTGGAAAAGACAAACTTACGTTTGTATGTGTGTCTAAAACATTAATATGTGCAATAAAATATCTGTATTATTTTTAATATTTTAATTTCACATGGAAGTAAAGTGCTGGATTGGCTAAAAACACAGGGGGTCGGTTTCTATAACAGAAATGTAAGTCAAAATCAGAATGCCGTGAACCCGAATTTTAGAGGTGAATTTTGGAAACCATATTTAAACATGGAGTTGTTATTCTTCACAGTGTACACTAAATTAAAATCACTAAACTAAATTGGCACCAAAAGAAACCTGAGGCCATATCCTGCATGCCAGGATGTCAACATAGCTTTCTGTTTGTAATTTAGGGCAAAAGCTGAGAGGAGAGGTCCCGACTTTCTGGGAAAGACAATGCAGTGTAATACAAAGCACTGAGTTTGGCTGGCATTTGGTCAGTAATGGCACAGAGAGAACTAATTTAAAGTCCCTCTTTCACAATTCTGGATAAGTGCTTTTTTCTGGACATCTCTAACACATTAACACTAAAAAACAGGTATCTGATTTGGTTTCAAGTACTGAATGTAGTGAGAAGGTGTTGACTTTGTCAATGTCTATGAGGAGTTGGAATGCTTGAATCAAATGCTTCATAGCCTTTTCTGATCAAGACAAAAACGGTTTAGTCCTTTTATCCTGTCCAAGAAGGGCATTCATTTATGTGAAATGTATCTTCTTGCTCTTCCAAGAACTGAATAAAAGAACTGCCATATCTTTATTTTGAGGACCAAAACTGTACACAACCATCTACAAACATTTCTAGTTTTTGATCTGTACTAGAATCTAATCTACAGTAGATCACTGATATGAATTCAAAATATCAATGATCCAAATATAAATCCCTATGGTACTCCACTAATTACATCACCCCAGTGTCAATGAACATCTAGTATAGTTCTTATTATTGTTTCCATAAACGGTTTTAAAATTAATTGGTCTGATTTGGTTGCCATTTTTATGAATGGGCATTACTTTAGGAATAGTCCAGTCATTGGGTACTACCCTTGATGTGAGAGAGTAAAAACATGGAAGCAGAAATAACTGTAATGAGATTGTTTTGCCATCTGCAATGTTTCAGTAACATTCAATTTCAGTGAACACTGGGCCAGAGTGGTGATACACATGTAAGGTTTAGGCGCTGTGCAAATAGTTTCAGATATACTGTATCAAAGGGATCCTGTCGACAGTTCCATCTTTCTTGTCTCAAATTCAGTCTTCTCTGAACAAGCTCTGAATTCACAGGTTGCCCGGGGGCAAGGGGGGTAGAGAGCAGAGCTAGAGGAGTTTGAAAGATTTGCTCAAAGATCATGTTGGGGGGAAGGGGTTGGGGGTCCTCTGAGATGTCAAGCCGTGAATTAAAAAAAAAATGCAAAAGATCAACATGCATCTGTTTTAAACATCAACATGGCAAAAAAAAACACGAACCATCTGCCTAAAATAACTGCTGCCCTGTTAGATCAATAAACACCATTTACAGTATCTATAAAAGAAATGGAATGGCTTGGTGGTTACAGAGAGTGAAAAAGTATCAGCCGTGGACCAAAATAGAGCAGGATGATTAAAGAATTAGCGCAACATACATATTTCGAGCATTTTAATGTCTGTTATTCCTGGATCGAGAGAGATGGAAAGTTACCCATCTGTGATGTGAAGCTGTGCTTGAGGTGCTTGTGTTTTAGGAAGTGGGAAGGTGTGTAGAATGTGGCGGATGGTGTAAATATTTTCTTGAATGTGTGTACATACATAAAAAACAACATAAACACAACATAAAAAGATCTTAATCAAATGTACTTGTCCTCAATGAAATTAGCTTCTTTTGGTTTGCCTTGGCCTTCTGTAAAGAAGGTTCCTTTTATTTAGTTCAGATTTCATGTTGTATTGAAATGAATTATCTGAATCCAGTATCACCATCTTAATTAGGAACTCACCAAGAACACTGAAGCATTTTCTCCTTCCCTTCTCTAATGCATGCTGTGTAAGATGAGGTTAATCAGCTTTGACCCTTTACATTTTCTTTAACAGAGTATCCTGATCTTTTCCACATGTCAGATAATTTAACTGACTCTCGGTATAGCATCTGTCACCAGCATGAGGAAAGTAGATGACAAAGATTCAATTGGAAATAAAGGTTATTTTCCTAACTTGTAACTTAAGTTTAACCACCATTATTTTCAGCAGTCTCTTCCCATTTCCTACTAATGCTGCTGCCTTGTGCCGGAGAAGGATGAGATGGTACCTTGATAAGGAGATACATGACAAAGGTGATACCGAAGATCAACGTCAGGCGTGCAATTTCCTTGTTGGACAGCTCATGTTTCACACCAACAGAGTCCTGCAGTTGAGGATGGACAGAAATGAGCTGGGTTTCACAGCAAGTTCACAAGAACATAAGATTAACAAAAGATTACAATAAAAAAAAAACCTCTTGGCCCATCCTGTTGATAATAACCAAGTGATCTAAGGAACACACTGGTTTTTCTTGAATAAAGAAACCAAGGTGTCAACTTTGGCAACATAGCTGGATAGTTTGTTTCAGACACCCTTCTACTGCACAGTTTTTTTGTATTCATGCTTCTCTATTTGTTACCATTATTACTTTTAAACTCCATCTATTTCCATATTGTGGCATGCTTTTTACAGCAAGCCTTTAGAGTAAAGAAAAACAAAGGTCTGAAACCATTGGTTTATACAGTACGATCACATTTGCCCCTTTCTCTGGTTGTGATTCTTAAAAATTTTTCTTTTCTCACCTAAAATGATTTATTATTCTAACTATTTCAGGAAAACAAAATGCTGTTAGGACTCGTGGGAGGGAAGTGTGCAAATATCAGGAAGCCCACAGGAAACTTGGTTAAATGCTGTTTTTAGCACTTCACAATTCTGAGTCTCATCTTCTTTTGGAATTTTCTGCCAATATGTTTGGGATGTCTTCACAGCGGTTGTTTTGCAAGAAATGACCTTGAGAAGAGTGAAATAAATGGGGAGTATATATATAATAATAAACTAATAACTAATTTAGGATGTTTGGTATTTTGTTTCAAAATGCTCATTAGACCTTTTAACTATTTTCTTAGAAGCTATTTTCTTCCACGTTTTCACTCACCCACATCATGAGTGCCTCCTCGTAGGTGAGGGTCCCTGGGAGTCCCCAAGGACCGCTGAACAATGACATCACACACAGACTGATGTCCAGGACCAGCAGTATGATGAAGGGAAGGAGCAGGCGTGGACGATACTACACAACACAGAAAGAGTGTGCAGGGTAAACACCATGTAAAATAAAATCAGCAAATACGGAAAGCTCAACACCATGGGTCATTGGATTTTTTGAATGCTAGCATTTGCTTTGTAATGATCCCAAAATTCAGTGAAACCATGACAACCTACTACACAGTTCAGAGGATTTGAACCTGATCTTTGTCTGAGTTACCAAGGAAAACATCGACAATTCTTTCAATGTTTTTGCATCTGCCACATCCAATCCAGGCTGGAGAGTAGACATTGGCACTGTGTGTCCAACTGCTCCCAGAAGGCACCACTGAGAGGCTGGCAAGAGACACCGACTCTCAGAAGTGTGCATATTGTAGCCGTGACCCTAGTGTCTGGTCAAGAACTAGCGAGTCTTTACATAGACCTTAAAGTAAATGTCTGCTCTTCCCTGGGCACAAAAACCATCTCTGCTCTTTGAGTTTTGTTTGCAGTGTGTGAAGTAGAAGCTGTCTTGCTGATAACTTTTAAGAAAATCTGCTTGCGACTGTTATCTCCCCTGGGCTTAGGATATGAGTTTGATTAGATTATGAGGAGAAAGCCTAAACTCATAGTTATAAGAATGGAAAGACAGTATTTGTACAAAACATTTTTCAGTAAATGTTATCAAAGGATTTCTTAGTTACATACCCAAACCTTTGAAGGTTTGTGTTGAATTAGTTTAGGTGCTGTTTTATTTGCATTGAGTAAAATGAAAATTAGCAGATGGTGAAACAGAAATTGGATGTCTGGCAATGTTTCTCTGCACTGTGCGAGACAAGATCAAAATTCTGTCTTGAGAAACTCTGGCACTGCCAAGAATAAAAAGCTTTTCATTTTTGTAAAGGAATGGCTGTAAGTTACCAGCTCCCTTGGAACACAGTGAGGATTTTCATGTTTGACCACATCCACAAATATTGAATCAAGTACTCCTTTCGTGCCTCAAAATACTGAACAAATATTTATGTGGCATGATCGGAGAAACCAAAAACATTTCATACATGCGGAATTTATTAATATATTCACTGTTGTGCATGGAGAAAAGTGCTGGAACATTGAGACACGTAACAGAGACACTCAAAAGGTTATTAAGATTTTCTGTGGCACCCTTAAATTTTAGCAGCATGAGCGATACATACTGTATAGTCAGTGCATTCCCATCAACCCACTATGTATGAATTCTACACCAGGTGCCATACTCTATATCTCATACCTTAAAATAGTTGGTTGAAGAATAAATAAGAAAACGATACACAAACTCAGGTTCATTGAAAGAAAAGAGCAAAAATGATCATGGTGTGATTTGGAATAATTCTTACCATATACCTTCCTAAATATCAATTTTATTCACTCCTTTATCATTGCACAGTCCTGAAAATTTCAAATGCAGCCCATTCCCCAGGACCTGAACCTTCTTTGGTGAAGGTGGAATGTTCATGCTTTGCCCAGTCTAGCTCTTTATTACCATTACTCGCATACTGCAGACTTTCAGTCTACAGCTGTGACAAACTAGTGTGATTAAATATGGAACAACCCCTACAACTTGTGAGATCTACATGCTATACGACCTGGCGCGCAGAAGGGAGAATCCCTGCCAGTTGATACTAGAAAATAGAAGCACGAACACAAGCCATTTATGAGAACTCGATCCGCTGGTGATAACATGCTTGTTACTGACCCTTGCAAATAAAACTATTTTACTTAATTAAGGACATCAACCCATAGACTTTGAAAAGGAGACAGTTCAGGCCTGTTCTGATTATCGTATACAGCTCTGATCTGATTCCGCTATAACTAAAGAGGTGATTTTAAAAACAAATACAAGTGTGGTGTCTTTATTTTGTCCTGCCTAAGTGTACCCTCCATTCGTACTGCTCAGACTCTTAATTTATTGTCAGTGTGAACCTAGAAGAAGAAGACATATTTTGCCACTTGAGCACTGCTGTTTTGGTGCACGAATCTTTGCAATTTTCATACACTTCATTTGGTACTCGTGAGGAGTGTGATCCTTGTCGCAATTAAGCCTAGAGTGACACTCAGCTGTGACATCTCATATCTGCTGGTGGATGTGAATAAATGTACAGAAAAGTCTCTCTGAGTTGAGAAGCTGAGGTCTGCGCATTTTCATTGATCACGCCTCAGCTGTGCTACATTAGTGCATAGTAATGAAGGCTTGCTGCCCCAAAATTATACTTTCCCAAGGACAGACACCTTCATGAAGAATATGGAGAGTAAATCAAGGAAGGCTTGGTAAAAGGGCTCTTTCCTTGCCAGGATTGATCATCCGTATATCTCATGTCCTTGGCATTCTATGCTCATTCTGAAGATATTAATTGAGATCAGGTGATTTGTTCAAGAGTAGGCATTACTGTTCATCATACAATATTCATTTACATTCAGCAACAAAAACATCTTTTTGTCTGATTAATACACTAAATGCAATTGCATTGTTATTTGAATAGTTGTACTGCAGGAACCTTATAAAAGATATTATACAGTATATTATAATATAGTCTTTCTAATTTCCTATTAGCATGTTACGTGAGTCTATCACAGAATTGCCAGTAAAATGCATGAACATTCACATTTAAATCAATATACAAAAACTTACCAAATCCATTGTACTGCAATTAACACATGTATGTACCTTCTGCATCCTCTCATTACAGACCTGTTTGCTATTTATTAGTTAAAATTAGATTTATGGACATAAACTAAAAAAGGACACTGCCAGATTACATAAGCAGTCCTCTAACAAGACCTAAATGAAAAGTTTCTAAATTAAATGGATGTCCCTACAAGTTCTGTTAGCTTGCGTGCAGCTTTTTTATAATGTGCCACCTCTTATTACATTCCTTACTTAATTTTGTCTTTACTGTTTTCCTAATGAAGCCATTCTGGGTGATTCTGTGTTGCAGGCTGTTATTTCCTCAGCTGGATATTCCCATAAAGCCCTTCAGAATGGAACGAACAGAGATGTGATCAGAATAAAAGGAATGCTTTCCCACGGACAATTCTGTAATAGAAAATTGCTTCCACATTGGACATCATGACAGTGAAAAATCAGTTGAGGAGAATTCTTCGGGGGCAGGTAGCAGGTTGCTTAGTTGGCGTGAAGTGAAAATGTAGTAGAAATAATGACCAACAATCATGTTATGCAGAGGGCATATCAGATACAAGACATCTACAGCATAGGAAAATAGATGTCGGACGTTACCACACTCTGTTTTTTTTTTTGTAGAATCACATCTTTTCCGTTTAGCTAAAAGACTTCTCTTCATCCTTTTTTCTGCTCATATAGTGATCTGCTTTGCTGCTGTCATCCAAACCCTGCTCCCGAGCGTCTGCCGGGAATTCCAAGTGCCTCAGCAGGAATGCTTTTATTTACTGTATATTATTTTAATTTTAAAGAGTAACTGAACTGTGATTGTGTTTATTTATATAGCAATTTCCCTCCCAGGTTACCCTGTCAATGCGTCTCACACATGCCTGGGCCATTACCTATAATTTACATTCTGCCTGCATCGATATGAGCTGCTGGAATTTCCCAGTAAACACGAGTACAAAGGAGCAAATGTTCAACCTGGACACGTCCAAAGATGCCACTTGCATGCAAGATCTGACTCTGTCAGAGCCTTCTGAGTGCTGGGCTATGGTGGAGACGCAGTAGGAAACCAATCACCGTTTTGGTAAAAATAGGCAGAAGCAAGTTTTAAGAGTTCTGACATGTTGTGCAAATGTTCCCAATGGGAAAACAAACATAGAAGTTCTTGATATCTCTTTATATTTTACTTTTGGCATGTACAGTGCCTTGCAAACATCTTCAAATCCTTTCTAAAGTGGCCCCTTTTGTGAATTTGATATTATTTTCAACACTTGAATGCTCAAACTGAAGACTTTCATGTTATGATTTCATATATATTCATAGCCATGAATTCATAGCCCCTTGGTGGAAGTATATTTGGCCTGCAGTTACAGCCACGTGTCATTTTCCGCAAGTTTCTATCAACTCTGTTGAAATAGCCAGGTACAATCATGTTGTGCATGGTTTGTTTTTCAAGCTCTCCTAAGTACTTTGGAGATTGCTTTCCACAAGCCTTTCCACCCATTCTCAGTAGGAATCAAACCAGGGCTTTGACTGGTCTACTCAAAGACATTCATTTTCTTATTTTTAAATCACTCCAGTATAGCTTTAGCCTTGAGGCTTGGATCATTGTCCTGTCGAAAGTGGACTTTTCTCCCCAATTTTAAGTCTTTAGCAAACTGATACAGGTTTTCCTCTAGTATTTCCCTATACTTTTCTTCCATCTATCCTAACAAGCTTTCCAATCCCTGCAGAGAAGCATCTCCATAATACAATGCTGCCACCACAATACTGCTTGACTGTTAGAATGGTGTTGACTGGGAGATGTCAACATAATGCTTGACACCAAATAGTTCAGATTTTGTCTCGTTTGCCCACAGCAAACCACATGTTTGCTTATCACTCAGATGCTTTGTTGTAAACTCCATGCAGGATATAAGATGGGTTTTCCACTCCACCACACAGCCCAGCTTTGTGATTGGGATATTGCTGACTGATGCACATTGTCTCCCATGTCATGGAGCCATTGAGATCTGTAGCTCTTCCAGTCTGTTCTCACACTGGCATTCCTCACCAGTTTCCTCCTTTACCTGCTGTTGAATTAGGATGATCTGCTAATGATCTGCGCTTATGTGATGTGCTACTCTCTTTTTATTTTTGCTTTGAATGTGTGGAGTAGGTTGTGTACCACATACTGTAAAACCAATACTAACTGCTACTTCAAAGCATCATGATTACAAGCTTTAAAGTGACAAAACATGAAAACTGAGAAAGGGTCCAAATAGGCACTGTTAATATATTATTTTGTAAATATTGCATTTCTACCCTTTTCCAAAACAAACCCGTCAGTGTGTTGTGATGATGTGGCCACACTGTGTATGTGCTAGGAAGATAGTTACATGTCTAAAATGGAGAAGTGAAAATGATGTAAGTTATGTGAAGAAAACTGTAAAGACAGAACGCTGAGAAAAGTAAAGCCCTACTTTACACAAGAAGTCCACGAGACAGCTCCAAGTGCGTATGCATGTAAAATTTCAGGAAGAGTTTCCACTGAGACAACCGAGCTTGAAGATTAAACCTACATCAACACAGTTACCCATCAACACACTGTCTTCCCCCAGACCCTTCATACAGTGTAGGGCTGTCAAGCCAACCAGCTTCAATCAAAGAATTGAAAAACATGAGGATGTTACTCAGACTCATGATTGCACTAGCCATGATAACTGGACCCAGGCAAGTACTAAGGATGCCTTCACAGTGGACAGTGGACAGCGGACAGTGGACAGTGGACAGTGGACAGTGACATGCAGTCCAAGACTCCAAGCAGTGCTGTCGAACCAAGAGCAGGAATGTGCAGCTCTTTCCTGGAGAAATGATTGCGGTCACAACAACCAAGCAAGTACTTGTAGGAATGATTTCTTGATTTCATGTAGAGCTGAATCCCACATTTATTTTCCTCTTTAAAAACAAAACGTTAAACACTGCCACAATACAAGTTCTAATGAACTGTGGTCTCTGTCAACCATGTTTAATATCCACATATTCAGGGTTTCTTCCTTCTGATGGCAAATGCAAGTTCAATCATAGTACAGGATAGTCATTCTCACCTGCTCTGTGTCCAGTTCCTCCCTGCTCTCCACACCTTTTTTACTGCTCTCTTTTGCTCTACTATGCTTTATCTATCTGCTACTTTCCCTCTCTCCCTCACACATGAAGAAAGCCCCCAGCTGAAATGTTGTGTTTCTCTTTTTTCCTTTCAGTGTGGAATAAGCCTTTACCTGTTCCATGCATCACAATACAGTGCGACAGAGAGGTAAAAATTTGTAGCATGCAAATTGACATTGTCGCATGAGATCATTCGGAAAAGTGTAAATTTAGGCCACTGTTCAATAGTGTAATGATTCCTAATGATTATAAAGCATGGAGAGTACACAATGCAATCACATGGTGCTGTTGTCAGTATGTAGGTCATTATAGAACTGATGTTTGTGTAAAAAGGTGCATTCATTTATTGAATAACTGGGTTTTACGAGCTCCTCTTGTGGACATAAAGTCTGCTCACAACTGCCCAGTTATGTCATTATTCTGCCTTTATGCTTAAAAGAAAGCTTAGGTCATTAAACAGGCCATTCATGGAAAATTCTTCGATTGTTGTAAGCTTCAAAGACTTCAGAGGGTAATTGGACTAAGACAAGACCCGGCAAGACTGATCTTTTGTGAAATTCAAAATGTAAACAGCTTATGTATGCACATATATAACTGATCTAGAACATTTATTCTTAAGCTAAGAGTGATCATCCTAATTTAGATGAGAAGGACAAGTGGTACTGACTGGTTCTTAGAAAAGCATTGTTTATTAGCTGTTAGCTTTGGTTACTTGATAACTAATGTAGTGTATACAGCAGTGTGGTCCAAATCCAGTTCCGGAGGACCAGCGTGTCTGCTGCTTTTCATTCCAATGAAATCAACTAAATTCTATTTTCAATCAGCTCATTATTGTCTTAATTGCACCAATTTTGCTAATGATGCAAACACCAGAACTACAGGCCTAAGATTTCTCTAGCACATCCCTGATCTAGATCATTGGAAACTGGCACTTAATCCACTGAAAACACCTTACGATCACAGGCATGTGCCACAGTTTAGAGGGTCACAAGGATGAGACCAGGCAAGCCTGGCATGAAACACCGACTCTCAGCCTATGACATACTACTGTCTGATAGTATGGTTTAGTTGAGAGACTCATCTATGCCTGCCCTTTCAAATCACTCAGAACGCAGAGCCTGTTCTGCAGATAGGCTACAAATGGAGAGAGGTATAGTTTAATGTGAACACAGCATATCAGAATCTGACCAATGTCCAGAAGCCTTCAAGTTTTGCTACAATCAAGCTTTGTATTCAGTAGAATCCTCCCTTCCATTAGTTATGACTGACATGCTGAACAATACAAAGATATAGAAATGCTTCCTCTACAGTGGTGTTTGTCAGTTATCCATAGAGCTACTGTACACAAACAGGAGTTATGCTCATTTTAAATAAAGACGTTTATAAAATCAAAGTATCTCAGCCCTATGGCAGCCCAGATCTGAGCTAAAGATCTCTGGACTCCAGGAACAAACATACTGTACTGTAGTAATTCCTTAAAGGTGAAGAAGAATAACTTACTTTTCGAACTCCAAAGAGCACATAAACGCTTGAGATGATCATCACCGCAATTAGGAAGAAGTTGGTGGTCGTATCAACTACAAAATCAAGACAGAAAGAAATTGTGTTAGAGCTGAGTCATGTTATTAAAATGTTATTAAAATATAAGTATGGGTTTACTTAAGCAAAAGACAAAGACTAGGACATGGATGTGATATAAATTCAGCTTGAATTTCATAACTGTTCAATAAAGTGTTTCCTTGCTTATAAATAATTAAAACATTTTTCCTTAAACACCAATGCAACTCATATGTTCAGTGAGCAATGTGTAATGCAACCAGGAAAACAATACTGATTCATTAGAAAATGTTGTAACATTGAGCCTTCAAACTCAGATGGAAAAGACTGTCACAAAAAGTCAGGATTTCTGTTTAATCTCTCATTGTAAAGGCAAATGCTGGCACCTCCTACAGCTTAGTGTCTTCTGTCCCCTTGCTAGGACACTTGACTGCAAATTGTGGTCAAGGAGCAAAAATATCATCTACTGGTCAACAAGCACCCAATCCAATCCTGACCAGTCCCAGTCTTGTGGTGCTAAATCCTCAGAGTTGAAATGATGTGACTTACAGATGCGTTCTCCATTGGTATACTGCTGGGTGTGAATGAAGCCGCACATGTCTTTCCCTTTAACCAGGCCCAGGATCATGTCGATGCATACCAGCAGACTCGTCACCTGCAGTGACAGAGAAACAGCACAGCACCGTGAGGATCAAGTTTAAGGTTAGGAATATGGCCAGCAATTGCAATAAGGATTTTCAGCAACTGAGCTGCAGCACCTTATCTTGCTAATTCAAACGTGTGTTTCAGAATCCACATTGTCCTTTTCATTTAATCTTTGGGTCCAATCATTGAAAATATGTTAAATATATCAAATGTTAGTGTAATTTATTTTTTAAGCTATTTTCATTTTCTCCTCTCTTTTATTGCTTTTTTCTGCACTATCTGTAAAGTAGACCACACTCAAACTCTTCTGAATTTCAACCTTGAGCTGCACGGTGGTGCAGCCGTTAGCATCGCTGCCTCGCAGTGCTGGGGCACTGGGTTCAATTGATTTTCTTTCAAATCATCAGTTCAGTTAACAATTGAATGGGGTGCTACCGGGGTGGGGTTTGTATGTTCTCCCTCACTTTGCATTTCTTTTAGTGTTTCCGTTGGATGCTCCAATTCCTCCCACAATCAAGACAAAAAAAAACATGCTGGTAGGTTGATTGGCTTCTGTAAAATTAGTCCTGGTGAGAGTGTGTGTGTCAGTCTGCCTGCGATGGACTGGCGTCCTGTCCATAGCATATCCTGCCTTCCACCCAATGCTTCCCAACAATGGCTCTGGGCCACCATGACCCTGAGTTGGATAAGTGGTTATTGAAAGCGTTGTGATGTGGTCATCCTTTTTTCAAACATTCTGGTATTCTTTGAAATTTATTTTATGGGGTAGCACCCTGCATTTTGGCAAACCTCCCTCCACTCGTGATGAGGCACTTTATATGGGTTTATATGGGCAACATTCTCAGAAGAGAGAGGATAGCAAATAAGACTGGCACATTCCACTGCTTTGTCAGTGTTGTGGTTCAGACAATATCTGCCATTTCATCTGAACTAACGTCCTGCTTTCAGAGTTGTCAGTACTCTCACACAACTCATATGCTATACTCTCAGTACTCTCACACAACTCAACTCATTATATGAAAAACTGGTTCAACATATCTAACAATCTAGATAACTAATATTTCAAAATAATAAGATGGAAGATGGTGTACAACCCCCAGATTCAAACAATCAGCCCTTGTTTCAGAACATAGGGAGATGGGGCTTCAAATTCTGAATGAAGATTCTGGTATGGTAATTCACAATCCCTAAAATTCAGGTTTTAAGGAACACACTCAAGAGAGATCTTTGCGATAAAAGAAACAGGAAGGCAGGCCAGAATCTATTACCCTGAACCAGTTTCTGAAAGACTGTATTTGGTACTCATCCCTAAAGATGACCAGAGAGGACAAGAAAATAAAAAAATGCTTTTTCAAAGGCAATTTTTATGCAGGCAACATAACCTGCTCATCAACATGACACACTTGTAAATCTAAAGATACAGGTTATTTCTACAAGGGTAAGTCCAGGTATCAGTATTCATAGTTCTTTAAGCCCTACTGGTATTATTCACTTAGCACCAAATAAAGACACAAATAACATAGATTAATTGGTGTTCTTCCAAATGATTAGTTCAGTTAAGAAATTAAGGGGGAGGATAAAAAAACAGAGGACTCTGTGATCCTTATCTAATATATATAGTACATGTGTATGTTATTTATCTGTGATGAACCGCTGAGAATCATACTGAGAATCATATCAGTTTAGGCTTGGAGGAACTGTACAGTATGATTCTCCAGGTCATGTCTTCTGTGGTGAGTGTCTGACTTCCCCTTTGCAAACATTTTCCATTAGACAAGTTGCAAGATTGAAACCGGCAGATAAGGTGCACTCATGATACATGAATCTCACGACCAGTGATGTCTTTCAAATTAGTATTTATTTCTCAAAATAAGGGCACACTATTTCTTCCGTAGTTTTGATTTGACAGGCAAATTATATGTGACTCAACATCCTAGCAAAAGGTCTAAATATGCACTTTATACAAGATGTTGGTTTGAAACAAATTGTCCTATTTCAAAATAGTAAGACTTTAAAGCTAGACAGTACCCTAGAAGGTGTGAATGTCTATATGGGTGAGTTAAAGTGTTTTTCACTGTGCACATTTTGAAAGGAAGATGCTAGATTACTATACACCTACTGTATTAGAGTTTAATATCATGCTTTGTATATCCAAATGTACTCATGCAATTGGATTAGTAGCTTCTTCAACCTATAATGATGTACCAAATCAACTCAAAATATTGTGTGGGCTAGGATAAGATTCAGTCATCTGCACATACAGTATAAATCCTGACCGCCAACAATGAGTGAAGGAGAAGAGGCTGAGAGGAATGACACAGAAAAAAAAGGTATAGGATTTCCTATTTCTCAAGCTGTAGCTAATTGTTGTCTGCTTTTGACAGTATCATTAGTTGAATAAACTAATGTGATCTGTTGAGGGAAGAAAGTGATTAAGAGAAATCAGAATAAAGATTCCATTAATGGCACCCCTGCCACAGCAACAATCAAGAGACATACAATACTTAATTTTGCCTTTGGGAATATTTTGTACTGTCTTCACAAGCTGGCAAAACACAACATACTATTAACTTTGACATAATGGGGGAAAGATAAGGTAAAGGATCCACCTTGTCTTGCAATGCCACACTATAGCGTCCATGGCAGTGTGATTTGAATCTTTTACCTGCTTCAAGGAAGGAAATGTTTATCTGTGCTCATAAATATCAGCATTATTTTAAAGGAAGTGTTCTAAGATAATTTTCCAGGAAACAGACCTACCCTCCCTAACTGTACAGTTACACTGTTCATTAGTTTCCTTGCCATACTTTAGGGTAGAGAATAGCTTTAGAGATCAGATTATTTATTAAATCTGAGTGACAATGAAGGAAGATTTCAGTCTGTTTCCTAAGTTTGTGTGTATATCGTTCATTGTTCCTGTAAATGTGAAATGTAGTGTGTACATGCACGTCATATTTAATATTAAATTCAAGCATTTTACTTACTGAACTCTTACTCCTACATACACATTGTCACTTTTAAACAATCCATTAAAAATAAGTTTCTCATCTTTTTCTTTCCATTTATTAAGCACCGCTCAACATATGGATGTTGGAATTTGAAACGGGTTACATTACAAAGGGTGGCATTAGAATATGATAAGTTTGGAGACAGGGAGTGGACGAAGGGAGAGTATAACTTACAAACAGGTGTGTATGTGGAAGAAGGAGAGTAATTATTGAACACTGGTGATCTATGGTAAATAGCTCCCAGTCACAGAGACATTTCTTTTTTATACATGAGAGTTGCCAGTACTAACAGTTCTGCCCTCATCTGTTTCTGTCATAACAGGAAGGTACACATTCACAGAAAAACACATAAACAAGACTATAAATTGAATAAACCACTCTCTTCACTATGGAATTATTATTTTTTCCTGGAACATAGAATTCCTAGTTTTGAAGGGTTGATATTTTTGTGAGTTATGCATTCTGACACATAACTACATAAAGTGTGGGCACCATCACTTATTTATAATTTTTTAAAAAACTTATTTAATGACGACATGGTTTCCAGCTTTAATAAAATACTGTAATTAGCTTCGTTCTAAATGCAAATTAACCAATTTAAGACACAAGCTGGTGATCTATCCCCAGCTGCACATACAGTATAGTTTGTTAAAAGGATTTTTATCGGTTAAAAAATTCATATTGTGTTGTCAATGTTTTCAGGTATTTTGATTTCTTGATTTGAATTTCTATATTTAAGAATACTGACAGGCTGTCACAGTTTTGAAAAATCCTTCCGAATATTATAGGACAATGCTTCTGGTTTCAGCAGGGTAGATGTTAAAATTATTCACTCAAGTCTGACAGGCTGTACTTTTTTATGAAATGAAGACAAGTGAAGCAATTAAGATCAGAATGTTAATAGTATGGGTCTTCTGTATTTTTCTTGCTTACTGAACATAAGAAAAGGTTCAAACATTCAGCTTATTCAACCCCATTCAATAAAGGAGGTGGCAAAGTATTAAAGTAAAAATAATAGCGAACATTAGGTATTGTTGCTGCTAGTACTTTATCTTTGACACTAGTCACTAGAATATCTCACTAAAACACATTTATGCTTTTTATAGCTAAATGGCATGATAATTTAATTCTAGAAAAGAGCCTCCTTTACATACAGTTTCAACCTCATTTCACCTTACACTTCTCCAGTTTAAGTACTTTATAGCTCCAAATTCATCAAATGTTTCTGATATTCTTTGTATGAGCACACATTCCTGGAATACTGGATTTTTTCACCAAGTTCAAATTAATTTGATAAAGCACTATATGCTTTGTACCCGTTGGTTTCAAATCCATGAAAAGAAACTCACGTAAAGAAAACAGGAGATGAACAGGTCCCATGAGTTGAAATTAAGTGACAACAATTGAGAAGGAATATTCAAATGGTTTTGTATAAAAGCTCAATTGGTTTCTGTTTTGGTACATAGCAGTATAACTGACTCAAGCTCTACACTGAATGCACCTGATGTCTGCATCTGAGATCAAAGGCAAGGCTCTTACCAGGTAATATACACCGATGCTAAAGGTTGCAGTTCGGATATCACAGCAAAATCCCCGATAGGCAAAGGCCAGATCAACAGAATTTGGTTTGGACATCATTTTGGCTTCTCAAAATGATGCGACTTCTTTGGTGTTTGTCTAGAGAAGGAAAGTGAAGAAACAAATAGAACACAACGCCTCGAGCCAGGCTTCCTTCCTGTTCGTCACTCAGGAGTCACATGGTGGCCAGAGAGAAACCACCAGATATTTATGTGCCCGTTAAGAAGCATTGCACACTGTTGGGAACACAAAGAGCTAACATTCCCCTCAGAATGTCCAAGAATGTTGAGTGTTCAAGCTCAGGTTTTATGACCCCAACCCAGTGCTGAAGGACTGTAGTCCTGTAGATTTTCATACCAGAAAACACTCCTCACAATCTAATTTACCTAATAAATAGGTTAATTACAGCAGTTGAACATAATTTGATATGATACTTCAGGTGCGCCTTATTAAGAGGCTTCTAAAACTCCAAGAAAGAACCCCTGCTTTAAAAAAGAGCAGTTTAAGGCTGCAGTTTATTTGAATTACTAATAATTTGGTTGAAACTTTTGTAATTATCAGAGAATGGCTTGGGACAGATATTTATTAGATGCAGAAAGGGCATCTTTGAGTGAGTACTGGAGTCTTCTACTTTTCATTTTGGGTCTCAGTTCTTTAACTGAATCAACTAATTAATGAAGATTAATGTACCTTTGAGCCCCAAACTCTCCAAAGACTGAGGGACCATTGCTTGTCTGTGAATTAAAAATGGCCTTTTAATCCATCTTGTTTGCTTTTTTTTTTTTGCTATTAATGTATTAATCAATTTCTTCAATGGATCCCAGGAAATCCGCTTCACATCATGGTTTCGTAGGTTAATGATACTGTATAAGAACAGTTACAAATGAGAGGAGGCAATTTGACCCATGTAGCCTGTTTGGCAGTTAGTAGTTAATTGATCCAATAATCTTATTTAGCCATGTCTTGAAAGAGGCCAGAGTATCGACATCAACAACATGGCTAGGGAGATTGCTCCATACTCCTACAACCCTTTGCCCTCCTTTCTCAGCTTTAAATGCACTTCCACATGCTGTAGTTTCCATTAGTGCCCTGTGGTTCATTCAGAAGAAAAGTGTGAACTGCTGCCTTCAAAGAACAAAGTGCTGTGCAGATATCTTGTCTGGACAGTCCTCTTTAACAAAATATGGTACCAAGTTTCCATAATTAAAACAACTTCAGTTATTTCAAATAATACTTAATAAGTGTTATTCTACCTGTTTCACTTTCAAACCTGAAAAGAAAGCCAAGAAAAGGTTTGAGTTTAGTAGTTAAGGCAGCTTTTTAAATTCATATATACTGTATAGTATAGCACATTCAGTCGCTGCAACAGTTTGAACTTCTGTTTTTTTTTTTTCCTTCACTGACAGCAAATATACGGTCCATTTATTTTCTAACCTCTTTATCTAATTCAATGAAGCAGGGGATCTGGAGCCTATCCCAAAAAGCAGACACAGACAGTCACAGGGCCAGTTTTCCCAGAAGCTGATTAATATACCAGTATGTCTTTGGACTATGGGGGGAAACCCATGCAAACATGAGGAAAACATACAGACTCCAGACAGATAACACCCTGGCAATTGAATAGGGCCCCAACACTTTGAAGAACTAATGCAAACCACCACGCCATCACGCCGCCATTAAACATACAGTACAATATTTGTAATTTAGAGTGGATATTTGAGAGGTCTGAAGAGCAAACAGACCAAACTTTTCTAACAGCTAAAAATGTACTGAGTCTCTCCTACATTTTTAATGTGCCTTCTTACCTTACACATTGTTGTAAATCAAGTGTCTCTTTTAAATTAGAAGAAACTAAATGCTGTTGGACAACAGAAACTGCTTGCATAGTGTTTACACTGTGTTTAGAATTTCAACTGTACCATCACATCTAAAGTTTACTGTTATGGTATCAGTTGCATGATCTGCCCAGACTCCATGAAATTTCTGTTAAACAAACTTCTTTAGCTGTATCACTAGAGCTTGTGTGAGAGACAATCACCCTTTCCAGACAATTTAAATAGGCAAGACAAAGCTACATCAAGATATGTAAACTAAAAAATTGTTTTACAGCACCTACAGACTAAAACCGTTCAGACAAGGTGCTGTCAGTTTGCTACAAGCCATCTTTCATCTGGTTATAAAAATACAACATACTCTGGTTGTTTGAGAAAATGTTGATTCACCACAACTGCTGTTTTACAGCTTCATCTGTTTAAGACCACATGAAGCTGCATTTTTTCATTTTTTTGTTTTTTTACACAGCATCGTGAAATGCTGTTTAAAGTAATTTTATCATGCACCTGCACAGCCTTGACGTTCTCTTCAGGTCTGAGGTTTACTGTCCTAGACATGCACAGCAGCACCTGGATTTAAGCCAGCAAATTCACAAACTATGACATCTGTGGCATAAACTGAATATTATGCATTTTCATGAATGGTAAAAATTCAAACTTATATACTGAACGCATTATGTTCTAGTTCATTTCATTGACAAAAAACAATTTTATGAACGGCTGAAAATGTAATACATTCATAAAGGGCAGATAGTTTAGTTTGAAGGAATCTCTCATACAAAATAAGTTGCAGTATTTATGGAATCAATTTGGTATATTTGTAAGTAACTAATTTATTCAAGATCTATCAATAGCTTATAAATCATTAATAAATGAATCTGTATAATACATGTGCCACTCCAAAAGCATTGCTGATACAAGCATTTATTCACACATTAGTTGAGCCTTGCAAGTACAGGTTTTGCTATATGAGAGAATTTGATATTCTGTAGGTGGCACTTCTAACAGTAAATAAAGGGTCCAGTCAGTTAAATATTTACAATACACATCACCACATCTAAAAACTAAATATAGGTAATATCTAGTCAAGAAAAACCTCCATAAATTTGGTGAATGTATCATTTGACTAGTATTATAAAATTAAATGCAGGCTGGTCAGAGGGAATATCAATATAGCAAGTAAGGGTTGAATTTGATATACTGTATCTGCATGTACTCAGGGTGAACACATCTTCTGTTGTGCAGAGGAACACTTTTGTATGTTAATGAGATGTCACTTCCTTTTGAATTATTTGTGACAGTGAGAACACACACATTTGAATGCTCTGTGGGGGATTTGTTTAAAAATAGTTTAAAACTAGTTCAAAGCACTCTGATGATTTAAAAAAAAACAACAGAAATAACTGAAACCTTAATCAAGTATGGACACGCACTGTCCTGAACAATAGCTGCTGTTGTGAAGAGGGAGTCAAAACACACAAAAAAATACAAAAATAGTGTTTTAAGATCTTTGGTCAGCTCAGGTATCATCTTAACAAGCCACTGTGCCACAAACAAACACGTGGTCTTGGATTTCTGATGCCAGGGGCTGTGCTGTGCGGTTTTCTCAGTTGTGGAAAATTACTGTCTGAGTTTCTTCACGTAACACACTTCCCAAATAAACAAGAGCACAGGGACTAGAGAACCAAGGCTTGCAATACATAGCCTGGAAGGAACAAAAATTAGGAATATTTTAGGAAGGAACAGAAATAGGGATTATTATAGAAATAAATCTGTTTCCTTGATTAGCAAACGGACGTGTTTCATAGCACAAACTGTTCAAGCTGCCCTCCTTCTGCAGAGCTGTGCTAACATAACCATCTAGCTGTCCAGTACAATCCTATGGGTCTGCACTGACTGACCTGAAAGGCTACAACTGCACTACGCTTTAAGGAGGAAATGATCTTTAACATTGCCAGACAGAAGAAAAGTAATCTATCAGTCGAGTTCAAATCACAAAGCTCTAATATAGCCTAGCTTTTCGGGGAACTGTTAATAAAATGTTAATTAATAAAATGTTCTTTCTTATTAAATCACAGCCATCGTATGAGAGGGGGCTATTGAGAGCACCGTGATCATTTACTTTTTAAAAGCCTAAGTACCCGAGATCATGGATTTATGTTTGAAGTATAAATATACTGTTATAGCAGTTCAGGTGGGTAGCTGCATCAGCATGTGTAGTCTGCAAAGGAACAAGTAATAGGTTTATTCCATGCTGAAAAGAGAAGAGAGAAAACAACGTTTCGGCTGTGAAGCCTTCTTCAGGTGTGGTTGTTACATATGCTAAAGACTACTTCTCACTAATTTACAAAAGACTTTCCCTGATCTGCTCTTTTCACTAGGCTCAGACAGCTAAGGCAGTTAAGGTAGGGCGTCTGAGCCAAGGTCAACCAGCTATTCCCTCAACAAGGTGAGTGATGCCAACAAAATGTTTTCCAATAAACCTTCAATATTCTTTGTCTCTATTTTGCATTCATTAGGATCTGTAGCTGTATACCTAGTAAATATTTGTACTTAAAGTTACACCGTTTTTGAAAGTACACCAAATGTTGTTTCAGAAGTTTGGTTTGATCCCATTGAATATAATAAATGAACAAAATATGTCAAGTTTAATCGGCGCGAGGAGGCTTGCGGGGATGTTGCTGCATGTGTGTAGAGGGGGTGGATAAAAAAAATACACAAAGGGGAGTCCTGGGTGCGAGCCTAATATATGCAGGCAAGTGGAAGTGTGCATAATTGCAAATAAGGAGCTGACTTCTTTAGGAACGTCTGATACGAACTCCATGAAGCAGTAAAATCATGGGTAATGAAATCACTCCTAAAGCTTCTTCTGTAATTCATTTAAAGTCCAATTCTAATTTCTTGACTAAGCTACTGTACATAACTTCAATTAGCCATTTTGACTTGGTCCTAATCAGCTGCTAATTACAAGAAGCACATAAAAACATGAAATACTGTGACTCTTGGAGGGCTAGTTTGCTCCTCTATGAAATAACTCTGTAATTATTTTTTTTTAAAGAATCCATGTCACTTTTAAATGTGCAACTGACACATGCAAATAGCTGTGACCCAAGTGCAGAGACAACTACAGATGCAATCTTCCTTGCACACTGCTGCTCGGAAACGCTGCTGGTGCAACAGCGCGTCACCACTTCCTTCCCTCTGATAAAAAAAGCAACAGCAACGCACGAGTCGTCTCTTTTCAAGCTTGCTCAGACCCCCGGGACAGCACACAGCAAGCTATGCTATGAAACAAAATCAAATTCATGTGTCTTTTGGAAATCACCAAATAATTCAAGGCAATGAAATCTCCACAGTTTCTGGATTTCTGTCATAACCTCACCCTCCTGATCTATGCATGAAACATGAAAGAGCTAGTGACTTACAAACGTACAAAGTATTGTACAGGCTATAAATTCTGCAGCGTCTGGGGGGCATCTTTTAAGCTTTTCATTTGCCCCCTATATTGATGTGAAGGAATATCACTCTTTTAATGTATACTATACTACAGACATCAATGGGAAAGCTTTCCACGTTTAATAACAGCTCACCATGTCCAACGTTTAGTACAAAACCTGAGGGTGAAACCCTCATTGATTTACAGTATGGCATTTGCAAATTCAATACAATGCTTTTTTATCACAGTCACCTCATTCATTAGCAGAAATCTTCTCATTCTTCATTCAAGGCCTGTCCCAAAAGCATAGGGCACAGGGCTGTGCTACACCCTAGATGGGACACCAGTCAATGGCAGGGCACACATACAATGAACAAACACAACTTTGCCTGTCAACCTAGACTGCATGTCTTTGGAACATGGGACAAAACCAGAGCACGAGGACGAACATCCTGGGAAAATGGGGAGAACATGTGAACTCCACACAGATAGTAAAGTCTCCAAACTTAACATGAGACTTATGAGCTGCAAGCTAGTAGCACTGACCACAAAAGACAGACAGAAATGGATATGTCCAACATACAAAATAAAATATATAAAAAAGTCACACACTTTTCCACAAAAGTCTTGGAACACTGCCAAATGTAATGGATGGGAATTCTGTTCATGAGCCTGGATGGGTAAACAGAGATGTTACAAAATGGAAAAGGCCTTTTCTCTCCCCTCCCTTCCTTCCTTCTTTACATGCTGTCTGATTCATCACCACTCCGGGTGACACAATATGGATTCCTGACACAAACGTCTGCTACTCCACCTCTTCGAAAAACACAAACCACTTCACTGTCTTTGTCTTCCCCTGACAGTTGGAATTGTGTAACCAGACTCAGTTCCGTTTCAATTGGGTGGGGAAAAGCTGTGGACAGAGAAGTCCAATGAAAATAGTAAATTTAATTGAAAGCCAGCAAAGACACTACCTCTGCCAGTGCTATCCTTTCCATAAGGCTCCAAAAGATAAAACTGCCACATAACCTTCTTTTACAATGAATAAAAAAATAGATCTGTAATCAAACTTATAAAAATAAAATCAATGGAATACTGTAAGAATGAAAATAGTGAAATAGAGAGGCAAGTACTTTTACTGTAGTTTATAAAATTGAGATTAAAGTAAAATGGCGGTTCTTCTCTTGCTGAGTTTATATGTAATAGAATTACAAGAATTGAGGATTGCTCAGTTTCCACAGAAAGCATAACATTGATCATGATAATGATAGGATTAATGATGATTCCCACTTTGCTGACATTCTGAGCCGAAAGATGAACTACACTCCAGCTAAAATTCTCACTTTAATGTGTGCAGCATGTGAATTCGAAAAGGTGTAGCTGCACCTTTCCACGATTGATCCAAGAATTTCCCTCAAGGGTACCGCAAAAAAAAGCACCTGGATCTTCAGTGGTGGAGAACTTAATGACGTTGCAAGATAGAAAGGGAGATAACGGGGACTAAACCACCACTAATGTGTGTTCTGCCCCTTTGTTAGTTAGATCATATCAGGTAGGCAATTTTCTTTACTTTTCACAAGATCAGTGCATTGCATACAAAAATAAAACCCCAATAATCCTCTGATGTTCAATGTTTTTAATTCATTACTAACATACTCATTTATTCTGTCTTCAAATAGTCCAAAAATAATAATCAGTTGAAAACAAGAATTCCTTCTATTATTCTTTTCCATACATACAGTAACTTATCAATTAACATAATTTACAGTGCTTTTTCAGAAGACTGGGAGCAAACATTGTTGAAGAGTACAATATTAGAACCACCCCTCAAATGACCACATATGACTTGAATTTGAGACTGTACCCTTTTTGTGCTTATACACAGTAACTAAACAGACTGTTGTGTCCTGACATCAATCACATAGTGCCCTTCTTATTTTCTACTTTCCCATTGCAACAAAGTCATTGGATGGAGGTTACACGTCTACACACCTAAAGAAGCAGTCCACTTTCAGTCAGCCAAACTCAACATAGAGGTCCGTACGTTTCCTTTTTATTTACAGGCTAAAAGATGGGCTGTGTATCTTAAGGCAACTTTAAGCATATTGTCTTGTACTTTTTAAGCTACTGATCTTTCATCTAGTTAAACTTAGCTTTGGGCCTTTAAAAGAAGAAGCAAGGCAGAGCAACTCAACTTGAACAACTTAAAACATAGATATCATGTCATGTGTAAGTTTTGAGAATAGAATGTAAAGTTACCTCAACTAAAATGACTGACAACCACCAACGCCCACACATCCCTAAGCTGAGACCTAGGGGGAGGGGGTTTTGCTGAAGAGCTGTATTTATAAAACGTGTACTGGAATTCCAGTGAGAAGGATGCAGGGCGAGTAATAAGCATTGCATACTGGTCTGTTAGAAATCTTTGTCTTGTTTGTGTTCTGTTGGGGAATATTACAGTTATTTCCAAGCTGTGGTCTGGTGCAAACATTAAAAAAAGAAAGAACATTATTTTGCATTGTTCTGCTCTTGTCACACCATTTATCTCCTAGTCTATGCAAAAACAAGTCTGGGGTGAGATTCTACAAATATGTCAAACATTTTTGTTTCAAGCTCATAGTTAATCCTGTTTTATGTAGCAAAAACAATAGCCTTATAGCTCTGTTGAATTGCATAAAAGGAAGAAATTCTGTTCAATTGGATTTGTTAAAAGGTTCTTTGCTGGCCAGTATATAATGTTGATTTGTTCAGTTCAGTCAGGAACAACAAACTCGGGCTGTAGATTAGGATTAGGGTGTTTCAATGTTTGAAAAATGATCTCTGAATTACTTAATTCAACAAATGAACTGCTTAAAGTAAGAAAATTCAGTGTTTCCAGGTATTTAGAAATATAACTGGTAACTGCTAAGTCATGTAGACTGCTGGGTTGTGGCTCTCGAGGGCTGGTTGAAGCATCAAACTTGAAGTCCTGTCTATTATGACCCTGTAGAGTAACAGCCAATAAAAACACAAATCTCCAAACTGGAACGGCATGGTGGTGCAGTAGTTAGCATTGCTGCAACACAACTCTGGGCCCCGAAAAAAAAATTGTTGGGGCACTTTCCATGTGATGTTTGTTCTCCCTGTGTTCACATGGGTTTCCTTCCAGTCCAAAGACATGCTGGTGGGTTAATTGGTTTTTGCAAAATTGTGTTTGTGTCTGCATGTGCCATGGTATGGACTGGAGTCCCATCCAGCACGTATCCTGCCTTGAGCCCGTTGTTTTCCTGGACAGACACAGGTTCCCCTGCAACCTTGTATTGGTTAGTAAATGAATGGATGGATCTCCAAAATGCAATGCTTCAAGTGGAGCAATCCCTTCTGCCTTTCAAATTCAAAGTCTTCTTTCCAATTTACAGGAAGTGCTTTACTTGCTTTACTATTTGTGCTCTCTGAAGCATTTAAAACACTTTCATCCACAATCAAGAATGGTGTGAAGGCAAAGCTCATCTATACTTCTGGACATCTGGAGATTGTCCACTAGAGGGAGCCTTTCACAGTCCCTTTTCAGCACACAAGTCTATAGGAAGGTTCACAGAAAAGTGCTTCATAGTCTGCGCAGTTCATTAAGAACAAGCCCTGTATTATACAGGAGGATGGTGGCTACATACAGACGATCAGAGAGCCATAAATCCCAAAACACTGTGAAACGGGATACTTTTTCCTGCAGCCTTTTTATAAAATGCATTTCCAGACATCAAAGATGTCTTGCACTGCTCCCAGCAGTCCTGTAATATAGAACGATATGTTTTCAGGAACAGCATTTCTTGGGATTTTGCCCTACATTCCACTGTGACTGGCAATGAAAAAAGACCTCATTTTTCCTTTCCTCAGCATAAAGAGCACCTTATAGAAATGCCTGTCAAAGGAGAGGCTCAAGGGTCTTCATTCACGATTCTCCACAGGGCCAAGCTGCACAGAAAATGTCAGTTCATCACTCCCTCAGTCCATGATGATGCTTCCCTTTATCATTGTGCAAGCCTGGGGTTTTGAATACCTCATCCAAGCCCTTAAAATCTGTGGCTTTGTTTAACGGTTAGTGCCAAAAATATTGCCAAATTGTAAAAATGAATCGGGCTCAATTTTATCATTAGCTATTTAGTTGCAGGGAGGAGACTAAACTAGATTTTTCACTGTCTTGCAGTGCGGTAAGCACATAACCTTTGTTTAAAAACATATTAAGCTACTCTACAGTGTCCAGGTGTAGGACTGGAGAGCCACAAAAGAGCTGTGATGGGTGTATCTGACATTATATGTTTCTAAGCATTTGGAACAATTCCATTTTGGCCTCAGAAGCAGGTTACCCGTTGAATTTTAGATATCACTTTAAATTAAAATGCTAACACCCTTTACAGTAGGGTCTCAAGCGTCACAGTAGGTCACAGCTATTGAAGTAATTGAAAAGCACCAATCAACTTACTAAATCTGTCAAAACTGACATGCTACATCTATTCAATGCAACAGCCTTGTGAAATAACTGTGAACAAATCTGACATAACTCCCAAACGATAGAAAAAAAGTGTAAGATTATGTTGAAAAACTCCTGGCAGTATTCTGGGCAATAATTCATAAAAAGGATATATATTTTTTTCTGTAGCACCTCATTAATGGAAACTTAAACTCCCTGAATGGGATTCTGTTTTTTCTGGTCACTTTAAAAAAAAAAAATCAAGCCTCCAGTGTTCAAAGTTTATTTGACCAAAATGATTCTTCTTCCCTGATAAGTCCTCCGTGGTCAGCTTCTGCCAGGAATAACACCCCCAGGCAGGGTGTTAGAGCCAGCTTGTGTTCCAGAACAGGCCTTGTGTCTCAGTGAAGTTAAGCAGCTGTCAGAAATGGTGTGTCTGTGTAGACTGCCTCCTCCTGAAGCTAAGAGCTTGTCTTTAGGAATCCCTTTAACATGCTTCTGATCTGACTTACAAACACCGGCATTAGCTGAATTAGTGGCAGTGCTGTATATTTGAGGAAAGCGACCTCTCAGCCTGTATAAATCACGAAAGAAATACGTTTCATCCTGTAGAGACTAATGACCTTTAATGCTATCAGAACATGAAAAAATGGATAGCATTTAACTGTCAATATATTTATCTTGGATATTATCTGTGAATTTATAAAAAAAAACAAACAAAATAAAGCACTCAAAGAAAATATACACTAAATTCCTGCTTAATGTTGACTTGCATAATAAAAATATTTTTGCTTTTCATGTTTTTTGTGCTGGCTGTGTTTCAGCCATAAGACAACTCCAATCAATAAACATAGTAGCACAAGACATTATTAAAGACCTGCCCATGCAATGCAAAAACATTTTTGTAAGAGATGAAGCTCTTTTCCTAGCCCCAGTTACTTCTATGGCGCAAAGAATGTGAGTGGAGTGTTTGGGAAGAGTGTGCTGTATGTGGTTTAATTTTTTGCTTTCATGTTCATATCTCAATGGCACAGAGTTCTTCCTTAAAATGTAAAGTACATTATATTAAACAATAGCTAAATGCAAACTGACTGACCATTGATCCATTCCCTCCATCTTTTGAATATTGTGCAATATTGTTTTCTATACTATGTTGTATCATACACTTTATGTTATATGGTATTGTAAACTGGATGATACCACCTTTTTCCACTACACTATTACCGTTTTTACGCTGTGGTCTTCACCTATCTGTGCACTAAAAGAACAAGCACTAATAAAAGTTCCAATGTACAGTACTTGCTACAAATGGCAAATAAACTTTGAACTTGAACTGTGGTTGTGCACAGCTCAGCAGAGCTCTTAGAGCTGTTAGAGGCAGGAGTTGTCTTGAGGTGTAGTGCATGTAACTATAGGATGGCCTGTACTACATCACACTGTCTCTACAACTGGATACCAGGTTTCATGCAACTTCAATCTGACTTTGCACCTTCTAGCTCTCCACCTCACCTTACAGGATACTCTGACAGCTCATGAACAAAGACATCTGGAGAGTGGAATAAGTGCATTTGTTTATATGTCTTTTGAAGTACTCTTTTTTTTTGCATTCTACAAATATGTTTTCATAACTTGCAATGAAGAAGTAACTCAAACTATTAATCGACTATATGCTATGTTATTTTAAAGTCGGTGCTTAAGAAGCAAGCTTTTTTTCTGATCTTTAATATTTCCAAGCCAGTGTACTGCTTCCAAGTCAGATTTGTGTCCCATTTCCTTACTAGATATTGGGTTAGGTTTGTTGTTTTAAGTCAATAAACAAAAATCTTCATTGTATTTCAGTAAGCTTGCCTACTATAGGTACCAGTGTGGAGTAGTGATGTGGGGCCCTGGACTTAATTGAAAGGACATTAGTTTAAATTCGGGGTAGAGCACTGCTGTTGTATCTTGCAGCATTTTATTCAAAATGCACCAATAAAATAACCAGCAGTATGAGTTAAATATGTTAAGATGGACTAGAGCATACATTAATAATAATAATAATAATAATAATAATAATAATAATAATAACGGCATACTTTACGCTACCTATCTACAGTATGAAACAAGGCTTTGCGTGAAGAGATGTTTGAATCCTTGACTATGAAAACTTTAAATTAACTGTTAATGTCTGTGTAGGTGTAGGTTAGTAATATGTTCCACGCGTAATTTTAACAAGACACAAAAAACAGAGAAAACACGAACACTGAGGTACTGTGAACATTAACTCTTAGTAGTTCAAGCCATTTTTACAGATGTGCTGGATATTATAAATTATGTGTACAGTATATTACAGTTAATTAAAGGTCACTGGTAACAGCACACAAATCACATTAAGTGGAACTGTAGGCAAACAGTGCCTCCATCTGGACAAACTGTTTTACCACGGTGAAATTACAAATACAGCAGTACCAGCAGTCTGGCTGGAATGAAACCTTCACTAATTTTATTAACCTTTGTGCTAAAGCTTTTATTCAAGGTAAAGGGATATAAACACCTTCAAACTATGAAGACCCTGCACAGAAAAATTTAAGATAGAATTATTTTATAAAGTTTCATTACAACTGACTTTGTTTGCACCAAGGAGCATTTAGAGACAGTGGTAATAATAGCATGAAATTCTTTATACATTTCATTTATACAGTTAATGGGTTGCTGGCTGTACCTACAGTATAACTATGTACAGTAACAAATTCAGATTACAGGATTAAAATATTTTTGGCCAGTTTACATTTTGTTTCATGAAATAAAGGTCAGACATACAGTAAAAGCTTGACTTGCACATTCTTATTAAATGGGATCAGTGAGGAAACCCATTTATCCAATAACAGGAAGCTTATTCTCATGACAAGAGTAATTGGAAGCAAGAGCAGAGGTCATAACCAGACCATGAAAACGATTTAGGGACACTGACTAATCAATTCAGCTTGAATTTGGAGCATCCAGATTCAAAACCCGTGCCAACAGGTAGAATATTGTATGGAAACTCCTCATAGAAGGCAATCCAGTCCAGAGCTAAACCTAGGACCCAAGAGCTGTGAGGCAGCAGTGCTTACCATGAGACCACACCTCAGTAAGCAAACAATAAAGCATAATTCACTGTACTTCATAAAGGAATTGGGCTAAGCCAAAATTGAAATGTTTAAACAACTAAAATAGCTTAATAACAGTTGACCAAATTGCAAAAGAACAGAAGGTATAAACACTAAGAAACAGAAGCCAGGTCCATTAAACTTAAACATAAGTGTCGGGAACCTTCAAAACCTGTTTCTTATGGACTGAAGCAGTAAAACATGTATATTGTCCATACCACCTCTAGAGTGCAGCAGCACATTTGATCTTTGGATGAATCAGTGTTTGACTAACCTAAAAAAAGTTACTGTGTATACCAACATGTAGTGAAAATCTATTCCACTTAAATTAGTGGAAAAACATTTTTTTAGATATGTAAATTACATTTTTACGCAGATATTCTGGTGAAGGTCAGTCCGATCTCTCCTTTTCTCATCTCCTACAAGTAAATGTCTCATCTCCTAAGCAGCCTCTTTGTGTTTGCTCTTACCTTTCACTTCCACATCTCCGTCTCTTCATCCCCCAACGTTCCTGCCAGCTCCTGCAGCAATCGGCGCCTTCACTTGTCTCCCACCCCACTGCCTCCTGGCGCTCGCCGGCGTTTCTATACCTCAGCCGGGCTCAGCGGTCCGACTACTGTTCCTTCAAGCTGAGGCGGGAAGTGCCTCCCCGCTCCACCTCAAACAAGCAACTCGGCAACTTCTCTGTGGAAATAACTGGGATCCACTAGGTGCCATGATGTCTGCTCTCCTCTTCCACCTTCTTTGGGTGCTGCTAACCCTCCCCAGAGCTCCGGTAGAACTGCACACAACATCCCAGCTCCTAGTTTTCTCTCCTTCTCTCCTCCTCTGCAACATCACACCTCGTCCACGCTCCCCTCTCTACCCCATTTCAGTGTTGGGTGCCTATTGTATCTCCGGCGCATGCCTATTCCTCTCCCCTGCTCTCCCCACAGGCGTCTGCCCGGCCTTGCTGTCCCTGGTGCCTGTGCCCCAAGTCGGGCACATTAAGCCAACCTCAGCTCTGATAGCTTCGACTTTCTCCTTCCAGGATAGCACATCTTCCACAGAACATCATGGAATTCCAGTGTCAACCAATCAACCTGAGATCTGTGTTCTTCTGAGGCCTTACATATACAGTATCTTAACCAATCAACAAAAGTGTGTAGACCAAAAGTTCTTTTACTAAAGAACTGTGCAACAGAATTCCTCTATTTTACTTTGTTAGCCTCATCTTTATGATTATTCAGGTCATAGAAGTTTAGGCCAAATAAACTTCAAATATGTTTCATCTCTGTGTCACAGACATTCAGGAAGAGGTAAAATTATAATCTTGTCCCTTTCTTCTATACACAAATATATCCTGAACACCCTGTTTCATCTATTAATTTCCAACAGCAGGTCAAGTGCTATCACTTGAGAGCAGAAACAGAAGAATGAAAATGAGTCTATCTCATGATTTTCCCCTGAAGCCAAAACTGGCAAGTCATTTTTCGATTTCGTGTGCCTGTGAGATATCCTGATAATTGTTTCCAAAAAGAGAATCGTATTAACACTGCTGCTTAACATTGGCGGATGCTAGAGATATAATTACACAACATTATGTACCAATCAGAGTTTTTAAACTGGAGGTAAACCTGAACAATGCAAAGTTATGCAGTGAGTTTCAGTGATGTTACTCACATCACAGTTTGCAAACACTGTCATGTTAAAAAGAGCAAATGGTTTCTCAAGCACAACTTATTTTCATTCTAATTACATCAATTGAGCATAGTTAGGTATCTCCCAACATGTGATGTTATTGTCTAGTAACACAGCATCCCTATTGGTTTTCTGTGAAGTGCACTTACTACAGTGCAGAGAATACAAAAATGTCCTCCTGAAACTGATGTATGCTTGCTGAATGCTCCACTAAACTTTCATTTAGCGAGATGAACTCTATTTAGGAGCGGTTGTAGTTTTATCCTTTAAAAACAATCTTAAGATTTACCAAAACATTTTGCCCCTTTTCTTCTAGTTTGAAATCAGGTCAGATGGGAGGTGAGGAAAACCATAATTACATCCTCAAAATATCATTTGACTAAGACAGCAAATGGATCAGAGCTTTTTCCAGGAGACTGGCCTTTCTGATTGCAGTTAAACGCTTGGTGAGAGGAAATGAGTATTTAAGCATCTAATGATTCCCTGCTTTGCCTCCAGAGTGCAAAACACAGGGGTATTTAAGATAACGGGATGAGGAGATAGGGCTGGCTAATCTGACTTGTTCCTCACTCTCTGCAGCAACATGTCCAAACAGCATCTCTTGATTTCATTTAGCTTTGACTTGCTGTGCACATTGAATCAAAAATACATGCAGAACACATAAAAAAGAGACAGAAATACAAAACAGTTATTTCCAGAAATACGATCGACAATGTATTATTTTAACACAAATGTACAGTTTATTTTAAATAATATTTCCTATGTTTGCTTCAGATAATACTGTCTGAAGCATGCACAATAAAACATTTTATAAATGCAAGCAGTTCTTATTAATCCGATTAATGACTGTTGATAGCAGCTTTCTTGAACTGCTCAAGATTTCAAATTTAAAATGTTTCCACATAACTTAAAATCTGCCACTTTTAGGCACTAAATGTGATCACAAATGCAGTTACAGCCAGCTGTCCAGATGTTCTAAGTAACGGATTCAGATGAGGAAAAAAAGCAGACAATGGGCTCATAAAGAGGGAAATTAATCCGATTTGTCGTTCTTTTTGGTCTATAAGTAGAATAGTGAAATCTGAAACAATAGTGTTGTGTACTAAGTGACATTCACCTTCTGTTCTGTTTCTTATTTCTCCAATACAACACCAATACTTCAGACTCTTTAGCCTCTTACCTGCCAATAAAATATTACTGTCCTTCCATACTTACAAGAAGTGTTATGTAGCTTAAGAACAATTTGTTCCCTTTTAAGAATTTATAGTGAATCACAGGAGTCAGCTCATTGTCCTGCCCAAAAATTCCTTTGGTGCACATTATCAGACAACTACTTAACAGAAGCCAAAATACCAGCCACCTGACAATTCAAGAAATTATTCAGAAATGGCTCCCGAGTCTACCGAGTCATAAAAAACATTCTTAAATTTCCAAGTCATGCACTTAACTGAAAAATCGCCTGTACCTCCTGGTACAATACGAAGCACAAAATGGGACTGGCTAAGCTGTGCTTCACTAGGCTTTCTTGATCATTTACCTTCCTCTTCCTTAGCAAAACCAATCCATCAGTATACAAAGTGCTCTCTGCCAAGCCTTTCTGCTTTTAATTTGCAGAAAATAAACTAGGCTGCAATTAGGCAGAGGTACAACGTGTTCAATTAGGCTTTTAAAATGGCATGACTTTTAAAGTACAGACAGAACCAGAAAACACTGAACTTAAAATTAGCTAATTTTGTCTTACAGCGACTGTGAATCACACATGCAGTCTGGCTTGGAGAACAAAGTTTGCCTGTTGAAAGTCAACCTTCAATGAATTCACAAATAAAAATAAAACGCCTTTATAAAATCCTTGTCAAAAGAAAAACAAGTCAAGCTCTGTTCTATCAGTACTATTTCTATAAAGTGTTATGAAATACAGTGAACTTACAGAATGCTTAATGCTTTGCTCTGCTCATAGTGGTTAGCTACAATTGTTAGATATTAGGTTTAAGCAAACAACTTAATAAAGAATAAAGAATTTTTTTCATCTAAATTACAAATGTCAAAAAGACACAAGACTAAGCTGAACATCTCACCCTGTATACCTGTATACTACTCAGGGGTGCAGTTTCTTAAAGCGCTTATTTGCCAAATGATAATCTATCACTAGTTTAAGCAGCAGTTTTACTTTTATAGAAGGTACTGAATGCAGGTAAAGCTAACACAGGTAGATAGGCTTGTAGAAGTGTTACTCAATGTTTCTACTTTTTCTTGCTAAAAGGAGAGCCCCTCAGAAATCCTAAAAGCAGAAAACCACAATAAAGAGACGGACTGAGGAATGAGGGGGTCAGCTGAAAACTCAATAATATTGTACAATGTATGGACCTCGGGCCTTGCAGCAGTCAGGAAAGAGTGGAATGACAGAGCTTGTCATGGAACAGGATGACAGGCTGTTGTTGAGCCTATCAGGTAACTGCAACACTATCTGAGCTGTAGCAATAGTGCACTTTTGCCATGCAATGGAAAAACCTAGCAACACTACTGCCTAGGGGCTCCAATGCAATAATAAGCCTTATCAAGTACTGTACAGTAGCAGAATGTGCATCTACAGATTTATTTGCAAAAAATGACTGACCAAATTCACGTCCATTCTGTTAAATCAGATTTGGTAATTTATTGACTTTGGAAACTAGCAATTTATGACTCATGACAAATAAATAAATCTAGCTATCTCATTCAGATAGCTAATTTGTTAGGTGCATGTAATACAATTGGTCTTCCCTCAGAGCACTCTGTGCACACACTAGTGCTGAATCAGAAATGTGTTTCCATTTATCATTGAAAAGGTTTTGTATGATAATGTGAACCTAATACAAAAAAACTGCAAGCTTGCAGTTCATAAGACTGTGTTATAACCAAGACAGAAAGGGAGCATTAATCCCTGTATTGCTCGTTAAAAGTAAGAAAATTACCATGCATTAATAACATTGCTTTCAATTCCCATGGAAAGGAAACTTATCTTTGCTACAGGTGAAAACACTAACTCAGCACCTCCTAATATATGAAACAATCACAGTGCTTATCCTTTTAGTTCAGGAATGGCAAGAAATAATAATATAACCAGAGGCTTGCATCTCTTCTCAAGAGATTTCATCTAAGGCTCTGAAAGAGGAGATTATTAGGGGATTTCAAAGGACTTCAAGGGATTTGAAATCCTCCCTAGTCCTGACATCCAGGTCCTGGGACAACACTAAAGCAAGGATCTTGTCCCACAAAGGGACATTTTTAGAGATATTATGCACCATCTCATAAAACATCATTAACACTAACTACTCTATTCACTAATAGTTTTTTAAGATCTCATGCCATTTGTTAGCTTTATCAAAGGTTTTAAAGAAAACGTCTATAATATTTGAAAGCTTGAGAGGCCAAATTGAAGATTCTCATGCCATTTCCTAGAGTGAGGTTAGAATGACCAACATTACCTCTCACTATATATACACACTTTAATAACTGTGCAAGACACTTAAAAATAATAATTGTATTATTTTACATATAAAAATAATTAATATTTCTTCACACGGTACTTAAAAATGAACTTCTGGGACAGGAGACAACCCCCGCATCAAGCATGCCTTTCAGTCTTTCCCAGAATGACTCTAAATGTCTTTCTCCCCATTTGTCCCTCCCAGGTTATGGGTAATGACACAAGGACCTGGGAACACATGTGAATGTACAGTTCTGGGGCACAGGAAAGGTCCAAACTCCCATGACTCAGTGTGCCATGGGAGTTTGGACCTTTCCTAAATACATTAAAGAAGCCGAACTATGGTATCCTTTAAGAAATAGTTCTTGTTCGGAGTGTTTTACCTAACACAAACTAAATGAGCCTGACAGGCTAAGAAGTACCCTTATGATACTTTACGTTGCCTTGGTTTGCTTCACATCGAGGGTTTCTGACTACCTCATCTTCCTGGCCAGCATTTCACGTCTCAGCCAAGATGGCACAGTCCAAAGAATACTGTAATCATTTGCATAACCAACAACTAGCAGACGTGGAGCGGTATCTCCCAAAATTACATTTCTGAAGTTTCTCATTTGTTGATTCAGTCACACTGTATGCACAACTGTATAAGAAAGTACCTTTTCAATAGCAAAAGACAGCAATCACAGGCCAGCTCTCCCACAGTCAGTGATTTTCAGCTGCTTCGATGGACTTGTACTAATGAGCGTTGTGCTCTAGGTCTGAAGAGATCAGAAGAGCAGCTATGTTAAGTACCCTGTGGGGCCTGCGCTGGTTGAGGAGCCTTGCAGGCATGCGTCTTGATCTGCCCAGAGTAGACAAAGGTCTTGTCACAGTGGGCGCAGTGATAAGGCCTCTCGCCAGTGTGAACTCGCTGGTGCTTTTTGAGGTTGCCCAGCTCGCTGAAGTTCTTCCCACAGGCGGTGCAGTGGTAGGGCGTCTCCCCAGAGTGCACCCTCAGGTGCTTCTTCAGGCTGCCCGACTCCCTGAAACCCTTCCCGCACAGCGAGCACAGATACGGCTTCTCTCCCGTGTGGATGCGCTCGTGCTTCCGGAAGGCCCCCAGCCGGCTGAAGCTGCGGGAGCAGACGCCGCACTGGTAGGGAGTTTCCCCGGAATGGATGCGCTGGTGGATCTTCAGGGTGCCGGACAGGCTGAAGCTCTTCCCACAGACGGTGCAGTGGTACGGAGTCTCGCCCGTGTGGATCCGTTGGTGAATCTTCAGTTTCCCGGATTCCCGGAAGCTCTGCCCGCACTCCGAGCAGCGGTAGGGGGCTTCTCCGGTGTGGATCCTCTGGTGCTTCCTCAAACTGCCCGACTCGCGGAAGCCCTTGCCGCAGGTGGCGCAGCTGAAGGGCCGCTCGCCGGTGTGAATGCGCAGGTGCCTCTTCAGCGTCTCCGAGATGCTGAAGGTCTTGCCGCAGACGGTGCAGTGGTAGGGCTGCTCGCCGGTGTGGATGCGCAGGTGTTTCTTCAGCGTCCCCAGCTGGCTGAAGCCCTTGTCGCAGGTGTGACAGTGGTAGGGGGTCTGGCCCGTGTGCACGCGCTCGTGTGTCCGCAGGCTGCCGGAATCCCGGAAGCTCCTGCCGCACTGCTGGCAGCTGTACGGGTTCTCCCCTGTGTGGATCCGCTGGTGCCGACGTAGGGTGGCCAGGATGCTGAAGGTTTTGTTGCAGGTGGTGCAGCAGTACGGAGTCTCTCCCGTGTGGACGCGGCGATGTTTGGTCAGGGTCCCGGACTCTTTGAAGCACTTGCCACACTCCTCGCACCGGTACGGAGCCTCGCCAGTGTGGACACGCCGGTGGATCTTCAGCTTGGCCGAATCCCTGAACGCCTTGCCGCAGTCGCTGCAGATGAGCGGGAGCTTCTCACGGTGCACGCGCTGGTGTGCCCGGAGAGTCCCCACCCGGCTGAAGCTCTTTTCACACTGATCGCAGCCGTACACGTTCTGCCTCAAGGCCTTGCCTTCTCTTGCCAGTGACGGAGGAGCCCCACTTTGGGCAGCGCAGGCAGGCGACACCGATGATTTCAGTTCTGGGTTGCTGGCTCCCCTGGCGGGGAGGAATACCTGCTGGTTTTGCAAGCCGTCTTCTTTTTTCACACTTTCAGGCTCATTGCAGTCTTCACTTGGCGTCTTGACACGATTTTCCAGCTCAGTTCTTCCAGGTGAAAGGATATCAGTGTGGAGACACAGGGACAACTCCTCCTCTTCTTCTTTTACAGACACTGTAGCAGAACATAGCAGATACGGAGTCACACAGTAACATTTGCCTGTTTGTGATTTAGAATACATATTATAAGCTCTGCGTGTCCGTTTCAAGTTAAATATTAAAATAGCACAATACAAGACTTTCTGACTGGCTCTGTGACAGCTAAACCCTAAACTGTAAAGACAATTTGTTAAAATACCTTTTGAATTGTCAAAGAACAAAAAGCCTTACACATAGTAAAACTAAATGTTTCCTCAAACGCATCAGCTACCTGGGTAGACATAAGTCCATTTGTTCCACGGCGCTTTTTCATATCGATAAGATTATCTTCCAGGGATAATCTGGATATAAATGTGAATGCAGCCATGTCTCAAGCACCTGGTGTGAAAGATCTGGAGCATGAACCACATTTCAGAACATTCTCAAGTCCCCTGCCTCTTGCAGGTATTTCTGTATCAAAGCACACAACTCATTTAGTCACCCAGAGATGATGAACTCTGAAGTACGGAAGCAGGGGTTCATCATCCCACCACCCCTCAAACTCTTTTATGGCGTTTTTTTCCTTAAACGTTTAAAACAGAAGCAATAACTTTCCATCCAAATGCATTACCATTCTGCCAGTCTTCTTTGCTTTACTTACTTGAGGAGGTATCATTCAGAAACTCATTAGAAATGCTTTGCTCCCATGCTTCTGCATTAGCAATGCCTTTTCTGAAGGCTATTCAGAAATCTTCAGAGAAGAAAACGAAGCCATATACTGCATTCCAATGGAAAGTTAATACCCTACTGCATTGTGGTTTTGGATTTTCTGCTGCAAGCTATTTTGCTGTAACTCCCTCAGAAAGATAGAAAATAGCTGACATGTAAATGTTTTCTACTTAAAGTTCCTTTAATATGTCTTTACAAGGAAACAACAAGCCTGTGTAGGTCAAAGAGAACTTAAGCATTTTTTCCTTAATATTCTACAAAGTAATGGACTGTATTATTCACATCACTGGGGAAGAACAGCCCATAAAAACAATTCTGCTTTAGCAGGGGTGCTCCTCTGGTGGCTCACAGCATCTGCAGCCTTCATTCCAGTTCAGCTCTTCACTGCTCCATTAAGAGTTTCCCAGTCCTGGCTCTCCTGTTCCAGCCGAGCTGCCATTTAATTAACTGGTCATTTAATTGAACAAATCATTTTAACCACTTATTCTCTGTTTCTTACAAATGCTTGGGGTTTGCAGTCGACTACATTTAATAGTAACAGGAAATCAGCACCTACTGTGCTCAGATTCTAATTGAGCTTATTCTTAATCTATGGGCTTTGACGCAAATACACCCAGAAGACACTGGAGTCATAAGGAGCAGAAAAGGGCGGGGTTCTTGACCCAGTTGATCAATTGGCTTAACTACAGCAATTTGACACCTTTTGACAGGTTTTATGTACTGGATATACAAATGTCTTGGGTGTGACATAATGACGTCAGTTACAGCATACAGTAGTACCATACAGTATGATGCGGTGCCTATCACTGCCTGAAAAGTGTGTACAGATGGCACATTGTATTATGTTATTGGACGCAACTGACAAGGCCAAAAGTCAGCTCTTACATTTTACTGCCTTTCAAAGCAATGGAAAAGATGGGCTACTGTCATAATCTGAAAAACTGCAATCCATCATAAACAGCAGCTGTCAATATAGAGATTGTTGCAGCCTGATGCATAATGCATTATGCAGCCCTGTATGCATCATCATGATCACAATGTTTTTTTTGTCACTGAAAAATCAGGCAATATTACTTTTTAATGTAATATTTACAACTTGATATGGCCAAGCAACACATTAGTATATTATACTGCTGGTCACATGCACCTCCATCTCGATCTTGCATTAATCACCAGAAGAATTAATCTTAAAAGGGACAGAGGCATCAGTACAATGGTCTGCATGAGATTTATATCGTACAAATTCTACCAAGAGACGGGCTAGCAGCAAATGTGGTATTCTGAGGTCCACTTAAGGAAGTTTCTGGATCCCTCTGTCAAGATGTTAGAGATCTTTAAGATGGCTGGTTCAATCCAACAGAGCAACATACAGTATAACAGACCTCAAAGTGTTTATTGCATACATTCTCGTCAGAGGTCAGTATAAGCTCACAAAGCTTTCCCCCCAAGTTGGCCAAACCACACACTGGGCCCTGTAATTTTGCTGTTTACGCGATGTGACCAGTTGACGTTTCAGCTGCAGGGGTGAGTTTCAGGTCATGCATATGGTGTGTGGACCTTGAACTCTGCATGTTCTCAATAAGGAATGCCAATTAAAAAAGTAATCTTCCCTGTCATGAAACTGTCATAACCCTTCCACCGTGCTTCCACTCCAGTACTGTGATAAAACCAGCTCCTTAATTGTTCTATTGATCTGATTTTTTTCAAATAACTAATTAAGGAGCTGGCTAAAGCAAAATTGCATGATGAAGTGGCTTGGAATAGGTTGCAGATTGTGTAGCCCTGTCATTGAAAGGGCTGTATACCCCACCCATGTCCGGCCTTTACTTACATCCCCCAGCTGTAGTGGAAGACAGTTCCTGGGGAAGGGGCTTGTCTGAGGTGGCTGGGCAGTCCTCCGTCTCAGTTTTGATCTCGCAGCATGGCTTGAGCGGTACTTTGGTACAGTCAAAGGACTTGTCTTGAGAACCCTCCCCATCTAGCAGCACCAGTTCCTTTTTCACATGAACTACCCCCGGGGCAAAAGGATTTTCTCCGCTGGACTGCATGCTACCCTTTTCCCCAGCTGTCAGGGACTTCATGCTAGATCCTGTGCCAAAAAAAAAGGACATCACTTGCTTCAACTGCACTGGCATACTTCACCTCTACAGAAGCAACACCGCACCTGCACCACAATAACGAATCTTCGTTAGAAAATGAGCAGCATCGGGGACAACATTTTGCAGTTACTTCTGTTACAACATACGGTTGCGCATAAAGTGAATCAGATGCTACAGTAAATCCTACAATACGGTGCACGACTACAGTGAGTCTCCTTTATGCTTAAAATGAAAGGCTTGAACCTGGTTAGTTACAACGACACATGCTGTACATAAATCGAGTGTTCTTCAAAACACAACGGCTAAACGCCAACAACACATTGTAGGGGACATCTTTAATAACTTCTGCAACGGGGCCCGGGATTACTGACAGATATAATGCACTGAAGCGGGTTTAAACAGATTTATGGCAGAACATTTGCAAACGCACACGCAATCATTCGGCACACCACAATAAAGTACCTTACAAAATTGCAAGAATGAGTGGGAGAATTCAACAGCGAAAGACACCGACGTGAGAGCCAGAGAAAGGCTAGAATGACTTAACAGCTAACAAGAATTGTTTTGTTAAGAGGGACGTTAGCACTATAGAACTACGTAACCAAGGGCTGGATGAGACGACTCGGCCTCTGGGCAGATCCATGCCAGTCCTTTGCCCAGGCTGTTATTACCTTTGTGGGTTTTTTTCTTGCAGATACTGTATCAGATTCCTCATCGCGGTTTCCTCTTGCACCGCTTTATACTCTCCGAACCCCCGTCCCACGACACAGTCCAAACAACATTTTTTTCTCAATAAGTTGCAATTTCTCCTGCCATAAGTTACATCAAAACCCATTTTTAAAAGGCATACCTTTATCTCTACTCTGTAACCCGGCCATGTGGAAGACCCACCCCTTCAGTGAAGTGTTGACGGAGACTCACGAATACAATCCTCTGACAGGATCCTGTAAGCCAATAGCGAGGCGCATCATCCTGTCAAATCATAACATCCCGCCTACCAAATATTTCTGACGTGAGATTCAGCCAATAATAATTTAACAAACACTTCAACCAACCAGGTTGGGCGGTGAAGCCCACCCCTTAAGGACACACCCTCAAGTATTAACTCTTACGAAGAACGGTTCTGGTACCATAACTCCTTCCATTACCAAGTTTTTTGTCTCTGGTATGGTCGAGGAAAACCAGACCCTGTTCTGGAAGTACAAGTTGCAAACCAGGGTTTGGTATCTCTGAATTGTCCCTGTGCTCACACACCATTTCAGTTCAATAATGTACGTTTGAAAGAAGTGTATTTTAAGTCTCAGCCTTTTTTCAGCATAAAAATAGTAACATCCTCGTTAGAATATAATACATTCAAAGAGCTACGCCAAATGTATAAAAAGTATCGGTTTTATTCAGTAAATGAAACTTGCAACAATATTTGAGTTAAAATTACTCATTCGCAATCTAAAATATTTCTCATGAACATATTCACGTGTCTTCAAGTCAGTTCTCTTGCATTCACATGTCCATCTATTTTCTATCAGCTTCATTCAATACAGGGAGCCAGAGCAAGAGCAATGGGCACAAGGCAGGATACACCCTGGATGGGATGCCAGTCCATGCAGGACACACACAGACACACACACTAGGGCCTGTTAACGTAGCAGTATATCTTTTGACCCGGAGCTCCTGGAGGAAACCCATTTTACAATTCAAATTTCTCAGGAATGATGACCAAACTGAGCCTCATTCATTCAGTTGCTGTGAATGTGTCATTCTTAATTTGAGAAGCCCCTAGACGATAAAATCTTTGAATGAGGAAACACACTACTATGCCCCCTGTTATTGCAAATGTGGTGTAAGACAGGGTTCAGTAGGGTTATGGACCCAAATGAGACATTGCTACTGTAGGTGGAGTTAAAAACCTGTGATAAACCAGCAATCCGTTCAAGGAAGTCATGTGATCTCAGTCCACTTTAATCTGTAGAAAGCTTTGTCTGATACATTGACTTGAGGACTCCAGGTCAGCTTATCAATCAGCTAATATTCTGTCAGTCAGTCCATAGCAGCCAGTGATCATCTACAGGTAGAAATCAACCTGCACTCTTAACTTTAGTTTAGATCTTTATCTGTTGTGTCACTCAGGAACCTCCCTTCATTGTCAATTTTTGATTGTTTAAAAAAAAGTTGCTTAGGAGACAAGAACAACAAAAAAAGTGGTAACTAGGGTACATTCCTTAAAAAAATAGTCAATCCCTATCCCAAGACAAGCATGCGGATCTTCAGAGAATCTTGACTAGTGCTAATGTACAGTAGCTGTTTCAGGGTCTAGGAGTTTATTCTGATTAAGCCCTAGGGGATTCACAGACTGTTGGACATTTTACATAGTCACAACGCAAGAACAGAATCACAGCAGGAATGCTTAACAGGGTCATTAGGCATTCACTGTACATTCTGCATGGATACAAAGAGCAGGTAATAGCCCAGCTTTTGGCAGAGGCATGACCTTGGGGAAGGTGGAGCCGAGAGCACATTTGCATTGTTCAGTCAGGTGTGCAAATAGGCTTGTTGCCTTGATTGCAATCACAGCAGGATTCCCCCTGATGTGTCTCAATTTGTTAAACTGCACTCCCTGCTGTCAGAGCTGACCTTTCCTCTTCCCTTCCTCATTCTCTATTTTTCCTTTTCCATTTATATTGGACAGTCATGTTTACCCTTTTCGTGTCCCACTGGAATAATCAAATAATTATTCATCCCAGCTCACTGCCACACCCCTGCAAACTTCCCATCAGCATGGGAGAAGATAGATGAAGGTATGAAATTAGCCTCCCTTAGAATGCAAATGAACAAGTCATGTATAATATAGAAGGCTGGACTCCAAACCCTTGTATCACAAAAAAAAACCTTTTTGCCTCTTCTACACTGACAACAACAGTCTTTTGTAGGAGCATATAACGTATATGCTTTACGTTGAATATATGGTATATGCCATAAAAGCTATGTGCTTTTATAGAGTAAAAGCCAGGAATAAGTGCAACACTCAAGGACTGCCTACCCCCTGTAATAATCAAACCTTGAAGAAACACATGCATAAAGCAGTTTTTTGTCAGATATGGACAGCGTAGGACACAGCCTGGGAATATTTTCAAGAAGAAAGAACAGTTTCTTTAGAATATTTGGCACATTAGGCTCAAAAGAAAACCCAGAACTGAAGGTCTCTCCCAAATCAAGCATATTACTCACTGTACTTGTTAAGGTTCAGAAGGTGCTTGGTGTCACTGCAAATAAAGAAGGTTTCCTCCTTTCAGGTGTTTATACTCTATATTGAAGCCTGTGTTTTGCAATAAAATCAGGTCAGAAACTTAATGTGTTGGGACTAGATGGATAGCCTAGGAACCCTGTGAGGTGTTAATGCTAACCCTGATGTTGAGTTCTCACAGTATATGCATTTGACTGGGGATTCCTAATATCTGAATTAGTGAGTGTAAATGAAAATAGTATTATATAAAAAATTAATATATGACTCCCCCTTGATGAAGCATCTCAGCTGAATCATTTGTTTTGCATTTCAACATGGAATTAATTTAAACTCCTACCTCTAAAAACATATAACAGAGACAGGATCCAGCATGAGACTGTGACATTATTCATTTAGTTAGGAAACTAAAAATAACAAGAGAGACCTCCCCATGACTCTTCTGTCATCTTCTGTCTTTGGCATGCATTATCCAGCCTCCTTCTTATTGATTCCCTCTTGTCATCTTGGTTGAAGCATCTACGTTGAAGTCACAGGAATATTTTCCCCTTAGGAATCAAGTTTTTTCCTATTTTGAAATTTTGGCTTTTAGCTGACAATTGTAATTGGCTCCAAAAAAACTTTTTGAATTCACAGTAATGCCACTTACAGGTTCAATATATATCATGTGAAATATCACTGGCATCCTATTGGTACCACAATTAGTACTGTACTGTACTGGGCAAGGATATGCTCATCACTAGTATGCTTACTAAAACTAAAGGCATTTTTACTGACTCACCTCAACTTCTCTATCATTCCCGAGCAGATAGTTATTTTAAAAAAAGTAATTATTTAAAGAAGCCTCTGCACATTGACAGATTGTACCCTGGAGCAGAGATTATAATAATAATAATAATAATAATTGCTTACACTTATATAACGCTTTTCTGGACACTCCACTAAAAGCACTTTACAGGTAATGGGGTCTCCCCTCCACCACCACCAATGTGCAGCCCCACCTGGATGATGCGACGGCAGCCATAGTCCTCCAGAACGCTCACCACACATCAACGATCAGTGGGGAGGAGAGCAGAGTGATGAAGCCTATCCATAGCCATAGATGGGGATTATTAGAAGGTCATGATTGGTAAAGGCCAATGGGAAATTTGGCCAGGACGCAGGAATTTTCTGTTGCTTTTGTAATGCATTAGTTAAAAGGCAACCTGTAACATATTTAAGAGCTAAATGCAGTCACACAGTTTAAATGAATCCTATTATCCAGTAAGAATTCAAATGTTTAAATGAGAATTTAGCTGGAACAAATCCCGGAAGAGGTATGGTCCTCCAGGACCAGGACTGGGAATCCAGTAGCAGTGCTGATGCTTGACAATTGCTGTTAGTTTCAGGCCCGTGTGCTCATTACTTAGCAAAAATGTTACACAACCTGCTTTTCATTGAAGCAGATTAGCTTCAATGGATTGACTGCAAACCGTGGTAATGACCCTTCTTCAACAGTAGAGGGAATCAGTTTTACAGATATTTTAGCTTTTTTACTCTACAAACTCAATACAACATCTGTTGCTCCAAATGATGAAAATACAAGCAAGAGAGTGAACACAATTACGTGAAAGTAATATAAATCAACACTAGTTTGAAGTAAATATGTTTGACAGCTTTATTTCTTTTCATTCCAAGCAAACATATTTTCAAGCCCCTTACGCCCACCAGGATAATATTTATATACAGTACAAAATTAGTGCACTCACACATTTTAATATTTTAAAAGGACTGAAGCCTAAAATGTTTTTGAGACCCATAGCAAGCAATAGCAAAGGAATTACATAGTGTTTCAATGAAGTGCTTTGTCTGGCTGCTGTTAATATTTTCCAGGAATTTGTTTTTTGATAGAACTCACATCCATCCATTATTTTCTGACTATACAGTAGCTTCTGGTACAAAACTGTCCTCCAGTTCCTCAGACTATTCACTCTGTCACACTTAAATGACCACAGTTCAATTAGAAAAGCAAGTTGTAGTGTAATGTATCCATTTAAAAAGGTATTCACTTTCTTAAATGATGCTAGATGTTACTTATTTGTTGTTTCAGGAACAAAATTGTGATCACTCCTCAGAAGCTGCAAGTGCAGATATTTAATTTTTAAACAGGAATGTGTCTACTTCTGTGTGAAGGAAAAAGCTACTACCATCAAAGACGAGGCATCCATTAAAGTCATTGCTTGGTTGCAGCTTAATGATCCAAGAACCTTTTTCCTAAAGGAGTCAATAAACTTGGGAATGAAGTTTGTTGCAGTGCCACCCAAAGTTTCTCTGCAAGTGTCCAAAAGCTATCTAGATCCTGTATCAATGTTACACTCGATGTTCACTGGATAAATCTATGCTAAAGGCTTTAGAGACTGCAGTCTCTCTCTTCCTGCCTCTGCCCATCTGCCACTTTCTCTTCCACAAGCTCTAAAATGAAAACTGAATGAGTCCTTCATTTTATGACTACATATAAGTATAGGAGGTTTGGAATCCTACCTGTGAAGAAAACAATACCTGAATTACTGGATAGTACACATCACTGGACCTTATTCTGTAAATACAGTACATATCACTAGAGCTCATTCTGAGGAATATTTTGCAATCATTAAGCTTACTAGACTGAATAACATTACATCTGATTAA